CACCTCTAAGCAGATCTGTAGATGATGTGTCGGGAACCCCAGCAGTTGCTGCGGGGGCACACGTGTGTGTGTGTGTGTGTGTGTGTGTGTGTGTGTGTGTGTGTGTGTGTGTGTGTGTGTGTGTGTGTGTGTGTGTGTTATCATGCGGTCATGCTTGCTCACTCTACTCCTGCCACCCGGACATGGCGGATGGACGAGCGAAGCATTTCCGTCACTCTGCATTTCCGTCACCTGCTCGCTCTTCTCCCTCTGACAACCTGCTTTCCAGCCTCCTGTGTCACCTTCCTCCCTGTCTCTCTGTCCTACACAAACACACACACACACACACACACACACACACGAATACACTTTTTCTATTCTTTCTCTGTTCTTCCATCTTTCTTACTTATGGGCATTTGCTTGAACTTGCGCCTTGATCCACGTATATGTATATCTATGTATATTGGGTTATGTATTCACAAAGTATTAATTTCCAAACCACTTCCAAGGCTGTTTGCTAGCTAATTACCCTTTAATTAACAATGCATTCTGCTGGGTAGATTCTTTTGAACTGCTGCAGTGGTTCTTCAAGAAGAAGCTCAAATGTGTAACCAGCTGTAAATAAGTTCATAGAAATCTTTGGGTTCGTCTAATACATCTTGGACCTGTTTCTGTGCAAGACACACAAAATCAAACCGACAATGTAATTTTTGTCAGTCTCTCAAAACGACAAGTAAACCAATTTCTAAAATAGCACCCCTTTCTTTTGATTTTCAAAAGAAAAGAACACCTCGTCATTTTACTTGATAGAGGAAGAAAAACATAAAAAGCCACATGCGGAGACAGAATGTAAGAATCAAGGAGGACCTGACGGGGAATGTGTGTGCCTGACTGTTTGGGACGTGAAGTCAGTTAGTCAAGAGTCACCATGGTGAGTCCACAATGAAACAGGCTGCCGAGCCGCGTGGTGCACATATTGGTGGCGGCATCAAAATAGCCAAACAAGAACTTTCAAAGCCTACGCGTGGAGCGGTTTTATGAGCGCGCACAGCCAGTTGGATATGTGTGACTCCTAGCGGCACGTCAACTTCTGCTTCCTGCCTCTTTTTGGCTCCCAGCAACCGTGATGAAATGAACATAATGCCTAGTGAGTCAACCACCCCCCCCCCCCCCCTACACACACACACACACCTCACTCCAAAAGGCTGGTTATGCAGTGAGTGTTTGAACGAGCGTGTTCGGTCAGATGGGTTAACGGCATGACTTCTCACACCTCGTCTGCCTTTGTTGATGTGAGAAGCGAAGCACACACACACACATAGACACACACACAGAGACTGTCACTGCCACTCACACAACGTTCGTCCAAATCCAGACTCCACCATTCCTCACCATCACTGTCCTTCCTGATGTATTTTTTTTTCTCCATCCTCCTTTGGCCAGTAGTTTTCAGGCGTATGAGCATGAGGTCAGTCTGAATATCAATCACTCAATCTAATTGTCCTTTAAGGAAGGCAAAGGAGAGACTGTCTCCCCCCCCCATCCATCTCTGTCTCTTTCGACCTGCCTCTGCGTGCCATGTGTGACTTTACCTTAGGGCTTCCTTGCAAGAATGATGATGATGGGGTTGATTGGGTGAGAATGATGGATGGAACATAATGTCTGCTGATCACTCTATTTATTGGCCTTGTTTCCTCCGTCACCAGCAGTGTGATCATATTCGAGTGTCTGTCCTCACAGCTGTTTGTCCTTAATGGGCTCGGCGGACCGGTTGGGCCTCATAGCTGCGGGCTGCAGGCTTTCTGGTGTGTGTTTGTTAAAGTCATTTTAAGTCTAGTGGTGCTTCGAACCCAGCAGGATGGAGTCAGGGGACGGCCCTGAATAAGAGCACTCCTATGTCAGACACCCAACTGAAAAGCAGAATGGATGTGTTTGTGACCTCGAACAAAAAAAAAAAAAAAAAATCCCGATCTTGCCAAACACACAATGAGCCAATGTCTTTTATAGTGTTTTTCTGTTGTTCGGCTGCTTCAAAGTGTTCTTCTCCCGATGCTTTATTCTCTCTTGATCTCTTTTCCCCCCCACTGAGTGCTGTGTTGAGATAGAAAGGGCACTGGAGGGGGACAGTAATGACTAACTCTGTAAAGGTAATGATAAAGTACTGACACTTTGGGTTCCACTTTGGCTAGAGGCGCTGGGGCTAAGGAAATTACAGTCGTCCGTGTGTGTGTGTGTTGTGTGTCTGTGTGAGAGAATGAGAGACAAGAGAACAGAGGGTGGAGAAAACATTTTTTGACGTCAAGTTGGACAAAGATAGACACCGTGATTCATTGTCCTTGCCGGTTATTATGGGAGTCCAGCGTCTTCATCGTCTCCACTTCTTTGGCCAGCCTTCCTGTTTGCCCGTGTTTTTTCCCCCCTCCACCCGTCCTCTCTCCCACGCGGCCGTGCCTTCGAGCGTGGCCTCGCGCCGCCACTGTCGGTGCGACTCTCCGTGACGTTGGATCCTCATCCCTGCGCTTAGTCACCGGAGGAGGCTGCACCTTCAGCTGCTCGAGTGCAGCGTGAATGCATACGGCTGGGTAGGAATGCACTGTATAAGCACAGGCTGTCATCTGGTGTCTGTGTCTATGCGTGCGTGTGTTCCTGCGATCTGGTGCTTTTCGGAAAGTAATACCCAGAAGCCCGTGTTTGCTTTCTGGCTGTCTGCTGTCTGTCATTAGAGTAATAAAAGACTTGCTGTGATGCACGGCGAGGAGTTCTTGTCTTCCTCCATTCCGCGCAAATTGCCGGCTGCTGAGCTCTGATGGATGTTTGTATGCTGGCCCCAAAACACAGGTTCCACTTTTAACCCCCCCCCCCCCAGCTCCTATTTTCCCAAAGAGAAGCAAAGAAGGACAGCGAGAGGTGGGTCTGTCTCCCTGACTCCTCCCTCAGTCATACAAAAGTGTTTTAATTAAACTTTGGCTCAGTGCAGATCCTAGAACACACACACACGCTGCTCTCCTCCCCTCCTGTCTCCGGTCTGAACCACTGTCTCTCCATGTTTGTCTGTCTCTGCTGCCATTATTCCTCTGCCTTCCTTCCTCTTCCCCCCCCCCCGTGACAGAAGAGTGACAGGCTGTGTTTTTCAGCCGATGTTTGAAGAGCGAACGATCAATGCCGGACAAAGGGAAAGAGCGGGGGTGAGAGGTGGGGAGGGGCAACACAATTGGTTATTGACTGTGAATTCAAAGTCTGAAATACTGGAGGCGACAGCTTAGTAAGAGCAGACAAGGAGATTTAAGGGGAGAACAGAGAGAAGGAGTGTGGGAGTCACACGGCGCTTTATGTGTTCACGGATAAGTATCACTCTGAGATGTGTTCATTTTCATCGTACACATTTGTTTTATCTTTAGCTGTTTAGTGTGAACACCTCCCAGGGTGTAACCTGTAGGAACAGTGTGTTCGGTGTGTTTCTTTGTTTTCCTTGTGCATGTTGACAGTGTTTTTAGTTTTTCCACAATTCAAATGTGAGTTTGTGATATAAAGTGTTTGGTGATATTTTAATGAGGCATGTCTCATTCTTAGTCAGCTTGTGGACTCTTTAAGTGGTAAAACGCCATCTCTGAAAAACACGGTCTCTAGTGGTTATATTATATCCTGACTCGTTCATATTACCACGTTTACCAGTTATCAGGTTTTTTAAACTTACCACTTACCCACCCGCCCCCAGAATCAGCCAATCCTATCCTACTATACAGCGCTGGGGTCTCGATGGAGTAAAAGCTGCAGTGGTGAGAGTTCAGTTCGGGCTGACCGGTGAAGGAACGGAGGTCTATGTTTGCCAGAGAGACAGATGGAGAGCGATGAAGGATGACGGGTCCATCCTGTGCAGCTTCACCTTCTTTCGTCCGGCCCTGTTGTGGTGGAGACGGTTGAGGTCAAAAGTTGGTCTTGTTTGTTCTTTCTGAACACGGTACAGCCTCTTGAATCCAACAACTTTGGTTTGAATAATGCCCCAACTTTCCCTGGCGCTTACTTACACGTAAAGTACGTTCCTATTTGCTTTCCCCTAATGTCTCACAGTCTGTCGAGGGGAGACAGCGGGGTGAGCGCGGGGAGGCGCTTCTAAGAATAGGAGATGGTATCTTTCTAAGTAGTTTCTCTTGTTCCCTGGTTGTGGAATAACTGATCAGGTTGATACATTTTTGAAAAGTGCAAACTGCAAACTGTCTGCATCAAGTGTCAGTGTATGAAAAACCAGCCACACTTCTTTCTGTATCATCTGAATACGGAGGATACGATTTTTTAAAACCACAGCACCACAAGTTTGAGAGTCTGTGAGGAAAACTGGGCTGAACATCACGACACCTTCGGGGCCTCTACTGATGAAAGCTAGTAGGCAATGAGGCGGCAGCGTTGATAAACTGCCTGGGATCTACCTATGATTGAAGTATTGCGTCAGAGTGAAAAGGTTAGAAATGCTGTGTCCCTCCTGCAAGGAGAAGCTCTTGGCACCATTGCCAAGAGGACTTTGTCACATTGAGAATGTCGGGGAATGTGCGAATAACAGGACCGGTCTGTGGGAGGTCAGCCGCCCTCCTCTCCAGCTCCAGAGCAGGACGCCTGCATCGACCACATAACTGGCAATAACAAGGAGGCAAAGAATGTCACCATGTCCTTCCATTTACAGTGCAAACTGTCCACACCTTAAATGTCGTCTTGAAATACACCAACCTTGTTTTCTTCATGTGTACCAGGAAGCAGTGCTGACCGATTTGCTGTCAAAAGTTGGATTGAGACGCGGTGTCATACACACATATTCTCCCTTTCGGGTGTTTGGTAGTTTATTAATCCCCGAGGGATACATTTGTAATTTAGTTTATTTCTTACCTCTCCAACAGTTGGGTCACGGCAAAGGGTCAGCTGCTGAGCGATGAGGTGCTGCGCTGCAGTTTGCCTGCAGCAGACAGACTCTATAAGTCAGGTTTCCCATCGAGGGGCATTTAAATCAGTTTTGTGTTTCCGTGCGTTTCCAGAGAGCAGCGACTACAGCGAGGCAGAGGTTCTCCCCGACTCCTTCCCGTCAGCACCAGCGGAGCCTCTCCCAGAATTCCTGCTGGAACCGGAGGACGCTTTCATCGTAAAGAACCGGCCCGTCCAGCTGCGGTGCCGCGCGTCGCCCGCCACCCAGATCTACTTCAAATGTAACGGAGAATGGGTCAATCAAAACGATCACGTCACCAGAGAGAGCCTGGACCAGGTCACGGGTAATTCAAACGCAGACACACACACACACACAGAAGTGTACTTTAAATACAACGACACAAATACCAACACGGTAATGTCACCTTGTATTTCACAGACATAAACATCATACTACATAGTCCACTAGTTCCCACAGGACTTTATGGGCACATTAACTGCATTAGGCCTGCAGCCAGCGCGTTCTTTATATGCCCCACTAATATCTGTCTCTGTCTATAATGTCTCTCTCCCTCTCCGTCTCTTTATCTCTGCTCAGGGCTGGTGGTGCGAGAGGTGGACATCTCGGTGTCGAGGACTCAGGTGGAGGAGCTGTTTGGGTTGGAGGACTACTGGTGCCAGTGTGTGGCCTGGAGCTCGGCCGGGACCACCAAGAGCAACCGGGCCTACGTTCGCATTGCATGTCAGTGCTAAAGCTGTGTGTGTGTGTGTGTGTGTGTGTGGAGGAGGAGAGGGGGGGAGAAAGAGGGGAAGGGCGCTAGTAGAAGGGCGAGTGTCTCTGACTTTTAGCTTGTCAAATGTGTCAGCTTAAGTATATATGCTAATACATTTGCTGTAGCCTCCCCTCCAATTCCCCTGTGGAAAAGGGTGATGGAATGAGATTGACACTGTGCATGTTTATGAGGGTATGAAGAGAAAAAACAAGATACGGTAACAGAGCCTTTGTGTGTGTGTGTGTGTGTGTTTTTGTGTCACGCACAATGTCACAGGGCTTGACTGCTGTCACGGGGCAGTCTTCACTAACTTCATCTGTGTCGCCCCCTGTAGACCTGAGGAAGAACTTTGAGCAGGAGCCACTGGGGAGGGAGGTGCGACTCGAACAGGAGGTGTTGCTTCAGTGTCGCCCCCCGGAAGGCACGCCTGCTGCTGAGGTAGAACTCTACCTCCTCGTACGCGCTTTCACGCATTTTTTTGTTTTTTGTAATAGTGTGACCTCATTGGTATTTGGTCTCAAAGGAGACAACAAAGCTTTGCGTTAAATAATTAGTTATGGAGCAACATAAACATGATATAAAAGGTAATATGGTGCACGGCATTTGTATTTGAGAGATTTATATTAAAAAGAGAGAACAAATAATTCATGAAAATTTGTTCTTTACTGTGGCTAAATAACTTCACTTTGTGTGACGTAAACAAAGAGAGGATGTCAAAAAAATAATGTCATAAGTAAAATAAAAAAATTTCATTAATTTCATCCAAATATTGACAGTATTTTTAGCAGTGAAGTTTGCTGTAAAAGTTAAATACACTGTGGTTACAGTTTTCTCTGAAGCATTCTGTGTGTGGTGTTTTTATGCAGACACACCTGGAGATTTGTACATTCATATGCAGCGTCATCTGCTAAAATAATCCATTCATTATATAATCCATTCAACGCGAGGTTCGCGAGCGCAGATGTTCCTGTTGGCTCAAATACTGGCTGATGTGGTTCATTTCATTGCTTTGTCTGAATAGCTTCAGTACTTTGTGTGTGTGTGTGTGTGTGTGTGTGTGTGTGTGTGTGTGTGTGTGTGTGTGTGTGTGTGTGTGTGTGTGCTCCTGCCTCTCCACAGGTGGATTGGTTGAAGAACGAGGATGTCATCGATCCATCGCAGGATTCCAACTTCCTGATCACCATCGATCACGATCTGATCGTCAAGCAGGCCAGACTCTCAGACACGGCCAACTACACCTGCGTGGCTCGTAACGTGGTGGCCCGGAGACGCAGCAGCACGGCCACTCTTATTGTTTACGGTAAAACAAACATGGGTTTCCCTCTTCCATTTTGGAGGGATTGGTCTATGAATCATAACATAACATTTTTTTAGAAATCATCCTCAAGTTTTTTTTTTATGTGCTAATAGGTGACTCGCAAAATTAGATACTTTTAGCGGCTCAAAATGTAGACCTAAAATAACGTAAAATAATTTGATGAATCTTTTACTTTTACATAAGAAAGAATCAAAAATGTAAAATACCAATAGGAACTATTTGCTGTAGATACAATGCCTACAATCCCCTGAGTTATCTAACACTCACCCAAAATCTTGTTTTGGTGTTTATATTCTGATTATTCTTAAAGATGACCGAGGTTTTAACTGCCAGACTTGCCTGTCCGTCTCTCCGTCAGTGAGCGGAGGATGGTCGTCTTGGACTGAGTGGTCAGAGTGTAATGCTCGCTGTGGGCGGGGCTGGCAGCGACGAACACGCAGCTGCACCAATCCTGCCCCTCTGAATGGAGGAGCCTTCTGTGAAGGCCCACCCTTCCAGAGAGTGACCTGCACCACACTTTGCCCAGGTGAAGATGACATACTCATTAGTGTTACTTATAACATCTTCAGGCAAAGTAGTCGAGCACTTAACCATTAGAGAATTTCCTGTCCGACGTGTCCGGATGGATTTTAGAACTTCTAGAACATTAAATGCAGGAAAAACCAGGATGTTAATCCTCAAAACGTTGAATGCCAAAAACTTTTTACTTTTTCCCAACGAGGACAGCATAACATTTGCTCATGTTGCTGCTTTAATTTCAACATGAAAAGTAAATCAGGAACATCTGATTGGTGTTATCTGATTTACTGTCACGCACCATTTTCCCACTTATTGCCTCAACCTTGACTCTAACGTAATTTTAAAAACATACCGCCAAATGCATTTGGCTAATTCCAAAACGAGGCCCTTCCAGCCATTACATGCGCATGGCGCCACATTATTCAGTCATGCCCGATTCCCTCCACCCGACGTGTTCAAAGTACTCAGACGTTGGTTTGCTGGAACGTGACTCCCGTCTTTGCTGTCTCATTCCAGTGGACGGAGGCTGGACCGACTGGGCAAAGTGGTCCGCCTGTGGGACCGAGTGCACCCACTGGCGCAGTCGCGAGTGCCAGGCCCCCCCGCCCAGAAACGGCGGGAAGCACTGCAGCGGCAGCATGATGGAGAGCAAAAACTGTACCGAGGGGTTGTGTGCACGCAGTAAGTCACCTGAGCAATGTGCTTGAAGTGGGGTGGTTGTTAAATGTCAAAAAAAGAATAGATATTTGGATCGTGCATATATTTATTTGTAATGCATCGTAATTCTTCAGTTAATGCAAATCATCCAACGAATAAGCAAAGGTTATTTGGCTCTGCAGCACGGCGAAAGCATAAATGACGCTGAGAGCAAGAGAGAGAGAGAGACAAATGGAAAAGAAAACAGATAAATTCGAGACAGATGTTTCGTGAGGAAAGATTTTGGTTCACAAGGAGAGTGGTGATCCACATCTAAAGGGCACAGATGGAGAGAGAGAGAGAAGAAGATAGAAGATGCACGTGCAGGGTAACGTAACGCACAAAGTAAGATGCGAGCATGACACAACCAAGTCAGAAAATTAGCACAGGAAAGAGCATATGAGAGTGAGTTAAACTCTGACTGACTCCCAATGTGCAGCCCGTGATGAGCCGGGAGAAATCCAGCTGACAGCACATTAGAGTCTTTGAGACGCACATCCACAGAGGCAGCGAAATACTTTCAAGTACACACTTAAAAAAAAATATACATGCACAAGCCAACACACGGCGAGCACGCAGACACTTGTATGTGCACACCGTGCTTCGATTCTATCAGACGTGCATGCGAGCCTTGACATAAATAATCATCTATGGAGCAGGCGGATTAGACAAACACTCTGATTTGTCGGAGCAGGGCATCCTCAGGAGGCCGTCAGGAAAACACGCCCTTAAGTGGCTCCGGAGGAGGTGCGGCGTGGGCAGCGCTGTGCTTTTGGAAAATCTGTACATTTGTCACTACGAGGTCACTGACTTATTTATTTTGCCATCACCTTAATGTGAACATTCTGCATCACCAACTGACGACGTTATGACTTTCTGCGGCTGTAACGACTCAATCCGAGTCGATCCCTTTCCGGGCCTATAAAATGCTCTGAGACGCCACAAAGCATCATCTGCGCTGCCTTCCTAGTAGGCTTTAATTGCTACTGAAAGAATGAAACTGGGAAGGGAGCAATTTGGCGTTTTGATGATCCTTGGGAGAGAAGGTTATTGGGTTTGAGATCTAGTAAGTGGCGTAAGACGGTTTTGACATTCATCAAACCACTCAGGGATGCTTCAAATTGATGGTTATTTCAGGAGAGATTGTTCCTGTCAGGTGTTTTTTCATATGATGAAGGTGATAACGTACCTAAAGAGACCATTTTAATCTGCATTTTCTCCCTCATGTACCTTTCAACATTGACGTTCATTTAGTCCTAAACGTTGCCAAATGATCCTAATCTCTCACACTCATTTCTAATTGGCTTTCATTCTGCTTTTTGGATGTTATACAGACAATTACGCCGAACCTCATCCAACTATTCAATATTCTCATGCATTTCAAAAAGAGTTTATTTTATTTCACATATATATAAAGTATGTTTTCTTTCTTGCAGAACCTCTTTTATGTTTACATTTCTATTTTCATATTGATGCGTTGTTGTTTATTTTTGTTATTGTATTGTTCACTTGCAGAACAACTACTAGTCCATCCATTTTTATGTTGTTGTGTTTTTTTTTCTTTTCTTCCCTTGTTTTTATTTCTCCCGTTCAAACAGATAAAAAGATTTCTATTGAACATGCAAGCCATCGTAAGTTCACCTTCCCATGACTTCACCCTTTCACTGTTTCCCACCGCACTGTTAGTGTTTGTGTCCACGCTGGATGTGTGTCCGTCTGTCCGTCCGTCTGTCCGTCCGTGTCCTCCTACGGATGAGGAGTCCCTTACATCTGTGTTATCGCGTGAAGCTGAATGTGTGCAGCGTTTTGTTTCGAGCCCGTCAAACACACACTTTGTTGTCGTCTCAGATTGAGTTCAGCCGTCTTGAGTGTCGTGGCCCCGTCTTGTCTCGTACGTTGACTTAGCGTAACACGCGTTTCTCGTAACACGCGTTTCTCAGCAATCTCCACGTCACGTGGTTACATTTTTGTTATTTTTAAAGAAATATCCTGTGTTTGTTGTTCTGCACCAGTCGCCTGGCCCGATTCCTTCTACGTGTTTCTGATCCTGATTCTGAGAACAGTTCACTGAAGCTCAAAGTAGAAGAAAAAAAAAGGTGTAGTTAAACAAATTCCCCGAAAAAAGTTCATCTGGCCCGAACCCAAGTTGCTAAAAACCAATCTGCACGCTGTGTTATGAAGGGAGCTAAACGACATGCGTCCGGCTGAGACCCATTAATCCTCAAACCAGGAGGGTGAAAGCAGGGCGCTGGCTGATGGGGAAATAGTTGATTCATGTCTTCAGTTAATCTGTGAGATAGTTTGCTTTGCAGCTGATGGTAATTCCTCCAGCTCACCGTGTCGTGGGCTCGGGGGCGAAGCAGCCGCGGCAATGCACCTAACTCGCCATTGTGCCGTTTCTAGTAATAAGTGCGGATGCCTGTCGGATTCGTTTCCGTCGCGCCACGTGAGCACGCGGGAGCTCTTCTCCTCATCCAGCCCGTCTGCCTCCGGCCTTCCTCTCCTCCACCCTTTCTTCTGCGCTTGCTGCTGCTCTGTAGTGTTTCCTTCAACTTCTCCCTCCCTCTCTAACACGGGTCCTTTTCCAAAAGCACGGCTGCCCTTATCTCCCCTCTCGTCATCACCACACTTATAATCCGTCTGTCCGCTCAACAAATCACGGCCTTATCTAACTCCTTCCTATCTCGTTTCCCAAATTGCCTTTTCTTCCAGCGCTGTTTATTCTAACTCCTTTTTTTTTGTGTGACACAAACCGGGCTCATCGTCGGCTCCTTCCTGCTTCCTGTGTGAACGGCTCACGTGTCTGAAGCGACCACGCTGGTTTTGGGCAGTCGGAGGGAAGCGAGCTGCGTTGGGCCTGCTGGAAAATCACTCATAGATGGATATAGATTGGAAGCCCCTCCGGTTCGCTTCCTCGCAGGCTTGGAGGACCCGTTTATTATTGTGTCGTTCCTCAGTGAGCTCTTTAACACAGAAATTGTTGCCTTAGCTTGAATCGAACTGAACACCGGGTACAGCCAGCAGGCATACTGCCAGAGTTATATAATAGGGTTTTTTTTCAAGTTTATCTTGCAACACACACAAGTATACTAAGAGAATTAGTTATTATTTTTCCTGTCCATACTGGCTGTGAAGGGATCACCTGTCTAATGCGGTTCCAATGAAACAGACGGAGGAGTCTGTGTAAAAATGCGCTTTCAACAGTCAACACAAACTAAAATTAGGCTTCAATAATCGGACATATCACGTTTTCCAGGGATGTACCAATCCAACTCTTTCTCTCCTGATACCAGTGTTTCCGCTCTCGAAACTTTTAAATTGACACAACCGATTGGCTGGAACTCATTGTCTTTATTTTTAAAAGGTAACATGATGCCTGCCTAAACCAGTGAATATTATTGTTATTTAATGTCGACTGTTCCCATCATTGCCTGATGATACCGGACATACCTAAATAGGATCTCTATTACTTTTCTACATTTACCGTTTTAGAGCTTAATTATCTATTTATTTATTTCCCTGTAGGTGTTTAGTTACTGTGCTGGGAACGTTTGAAAGTAACACAGAAAAGGAATCAAGCCCTATAAATAGTGTAACTTTAGATATACATTGATTTGACTTCAGACTGCTGAAGTGTCACATTAGCTTCATCTAATTCATTTTTACACGGAACAATGACTGTGGATTTTGCCATCATACTGAGGACCCAGTGTGGACAGGATGAACAATCGCAGTGACCGAGAATTACTTCAATGTACACATGTGGGAACGTCGGGAATCGTTTCAAGATGGAATTGTAAGAATTACATTTCTACGAGGACTCTCGTGTGAAAGAAATGTGCTGCGTCCGTGGATTATTTTAATAATTGGTTCTATGAAGCAATTGTGTACTCGCGCGAGAAAAGTACGTCAAGGTTTCTCCAACCTCGACCCACAATTCCTGTTGTTTCATCACTCATTCAGACTGCAATAACTTACTTACACTTCTTTCTGCTACAGCTGATATGTGTTAAACAAATCCGATTCTCGTGTCTCTTGTTTCACTCCTACTCGTATCCGTTGGTTTCCACGCGTCTCCGTATCGCGTCCTGACCGCCGGCCTCTGTGTCCCTCTCTCAGCGCTCGCCCCAGGTACGAGTGTCGCGGTCTACGCCGGTCTGGTGGGGGCCCTGCTGCTGTGTGTGATTTTGGTGTTGTGCGTGGGAGTGCTGGCATACCGCCGCAGATGCCGCCATCTCCATGGAGACATCACTGATTCTTCTTCTGCTCTCACTGCGGCCTTCCACCCAGGCAACTACAAGCCCCCCAGACAGGGTAGGTTCTACCACACACACACGCACACACTCACTCCAACATCTGCCATCCAGTTACACATTCACATACAATTCCCCTTCTATCACTGTGTTTGTTACCCAAACTAGCGTTTCAGTTCATTAAACTAAAACGCTATATATATATATATATATATATCACCCAATAAATTGGTTTTCTTCATTATTATCCATTATTTCCTCTCGTTTAGTCTATTCTACATTTTTTACTGCATTACTTTTTTTTCAAGCCTTTGTCATGGTATCCCTTCCCTTGTTCTTTCCATTAAATATTAATTAGACACATTAATCCATTCCTCCCGCGTCATTTTTAGCACTTTCAGCCCGGCCCGTGTCCTTCCTGGTGATGAGAGAACAGCTCCTCTCCTCTGCTGTGCCCACAGATAACACCCACCCTCTGCATCCCTCAGCTCCACCCGATCTGACAGCCACGGCGGGGACTTTCCGTGGGCCGCTCTTCTCCCTGAAGCAGGGGGTCAACGACAGCCCCCACAAAATCCCCATGACTACCTCGCCCTTGCTGGACCCACTGCCGAGTCTCAAAATCAAGGTGTATAACGGCTCCACGCTCTCCTCCCTGGAGCTCCCCGCGGACATGGGCTTGTGTGACGGGGAGATCCTCAGCCTGAAGTCAGTGAGCACCATGGGCAGAGAGCGGGATTACCACAGCCACACGCTCCCCAGGGAGCCCGGGCTGAGCACCAGCGCCACCATGGGTAACCTGGGAGGACGCCTTACCATCCCCAACACTGGTAACTGAATGTTTCCTGCAACTTTCTTGGTCATTGGCAGAACGCACAAGCACACAGTGTGAACCAATGAAACGTGTGGACGACGACCTGTGGAATAAGATCATGACATCTTCCCCCCTCAGGTGTGAGCCTGCTGGTCCCGCCGGGCACAATACCGCAGGGGAAGTTCTATGAGATGTACCTTATTATCAACAAGTGGGACAATACAACGTGAGTCCCCTTCATCTTCAATCCTCTGTTTCATTTAGCCCCTTCACAAGCACAAGGCAGGACCTCATGCACGCCTCAATCAGAATTCCTTTTTTCCCCCCATGCAAAGTTCCCCTACTGAGAACAACGTGAAGTTTGTTTGATAGTTTTGTCATTTTTCTTTTGTGATTCCTCAATAGCAGCAAGTTCCAAATCGTGTTCCAGCCTCAATGTTCTTTTATAGATGAATTGTGATTCTTTGTCAACTATTGCAAACGCCCAGTGTGTGTGTGTGTGTGTGTGTGTGTGTGTGTGTGTGTGTGTGTGTGTGTGTGTGTGTTCGTGTGCCCTTCACAGGTTACCCTCTGAGGGAAGTCAGACCGTACTAAGTCCTGTGGTGAGCTGTGGCCCCTCCGGTATGTTGCTGAATCGTCCCGTGGTTCTTACTTTGCCCCACTGCGCCCAGCTAGACACACCTACCCCTGACTGGACGCTCACGCTCAAGACGCAGACTCACCAGGGGGCGTGGGAGGTGAGAGAAACCTGCGACTCGTATGATAAATATATGACGGGCAGCTGGAGTTGCGCCGTTGAACCCTGTGTACTGTCGGTTTCAGGAGGTGCTGACGGTAGGAGAGGAGACTCTGTCGTCTTCCTTGTTACCCTCAACTTGCGGGAGGAGGGTTGCCAGGTCTTAATTGAGCAACCGGGAAAGTAAGATTTAGTGTGCCAGTCCTTCATTCCGCAAGCCCACCGGCAAACGCCTGCCAGTTGGGCTTGTTTGCACCTTCGGGCGCCTTGCCTCTCGCTGGAATAACAGCCTTCGCAATTTATTTGCATCCATGACACCCCACATGCACTCAAGGTGCCGCTTGTGTGTTATAAATACCCTGCATGTGTCTGTCCACCTCTCTCATTTAATGTTCAGCTTTCTTCTTGTCTTGGTATTTGCATTTCGGCCATTGAATTGTGTTGAATTAGTGCTTTACTGGTAATTCATTTCATAATAAAATAGAAAAGATATTCTAAAAAATATAAACCCCTTCATCATGTAAACCTTAGTTGTACAGCTAAAAATGATTCCTCATTTAACATACCTAAAAAGCCCAGGAATGCACAATGCATTTAATTAAGCGTTTTTTAAAGCATAATAAAAGGAATGTCATGAATGTGTTCTGAAAGCCCTTCTTCTCTCTGCCTCTATGCAGGAGGTGCTGGATTTGGAAAGAAGTCTAGGAGGAGTTCTGCTGGAGGATCCAAAGCCTCTAATTTTCAAAGACAGCTATCACAACCTGCGCCTGTCCATCCACGACATTCCTCACACTCACTGGAGAAGCAAACTTCTTGCAAAGTATCAGGTGAGACACTTCAACAAAAAAAAAAGCAGACGCTATATAACAGCCTGTCGATATGCAGAGTGCCTATAGATCATGTTCATGCTTCCAAAGCACAAATCAGCTGCAGCTTGAACGATGTAGATCCATAAAACGATTGAACTGTAACCTCTTAAAGAAGGTGCTTCCAAAGCACAGCTAGCTAGTCATTTGTGTTGTAAACAAGTTCTCGGCTGCATTCACGGCATTCTGAACCCTCTCTGGGATAAAAAAAGAAATGGAGAAATCTGATAGCGATCCTAATTCATGGACATTTTTGCTGAGGAGATAAATTCTCAACCCCCCCCCACCCCCCCCCTGGCCAGTTGGTTTGGTTATTGAATGGAAACTGTCTTCTAGATCGCTCCTGATTGTGCTGCTCATGACAACATAACTTGCACAGAGGCCGTGTTTCCTCAGCTTTCCCTATTAACGATTGTCTGTGTTATCAGGAGATCCCGTTCTATCACATCTGGAGCGGCAGCCAGAGACCCCTGCACTGCACCTTTAGCCTAGAGAGAGGAAGCCTGGCCGTGTCCCAGATCGCCTGTAAGATCTGTGTCCGACAGGTGGAAGGGGAGGGGCAGATATTCCAGCTTCACACGGACATTCAGGAGGTAACGGCGACGATTCAGATATTGCAAAAGCAGATAAAATTGTCAATGAGGGTTACGCAGTTTCGTTGGTTTCAATGCCTCCCCCCTTTCTCTGTCGATCCAGACTCTACCCCCCCACTCGCCCCTCCCATCAGGAGGCACCTGCCTGCCCTCCTCTCAAGTTGGACCCTTTGCCTTTCGCTTGCCTGATTCCATCCGCCAGAAGATCTGTGCCAGTTTGGATGCACCGAGCGCTCGAGGATGTGACTGGAGGCTCCTGGCGCGCAGTCTGGGCTTTGACAGGTCAGATCTGCCTCACATGTATGTGTGAAAGGTAGTTTGGCCATGAGTCCAGTGCGCGTCCTAAGGATCCCAGTTCCTACTATTTAACCCAGATTTATGTATAAAAGGGGATGATGCTGTTTTATGACTGAGGTTTGAATCTCAGATTGGAATCTGGAAAAAAAGACTTGAATATTAACTTCAGGGTTCTATCCACGCATGTTATAGACGGTAGACTAGATATTTCACATTGCTAATTAGCTAATCTGATTAGTAAAATATAGTAGTTACTGGGGCATTCGTTTTAGCAGTATTTGTGACATACGGCTTTAATTATATGAAATATCTATAATCAATAACGGCGAGCTTCCTTCATTCCTCTTACATCTCGCCTTGTCTTTCTCTCCCGCAGGTACTTGAACTACTTTGCAACAAAGCCCAGTCCCACAGGTGTTCTACTGGACTTATGGGAAGCGTGTCACCAAGCGGACGCAGACTTGGTCTCTTTGGCGACCGCGCTGGAAGAAATGGGCAAAAGTGAGGTGCTAGTTGTTATGACAACAGACGGGGATTGTTGATTGGTCGAGGTACAAGAGAGCAAGCCAGACCTTTTTTTCCTTTTTCTCTACACCGGGATGAAAATAAGAATACCTGCCAATGAATATGCACAAACCATAAGCCCGAATAACATGTTGGTTCCTTCACATGCAATGTATTACCTCTGCCTCGTCTCCCTTTTAATTGACCCCTAAGTAGCCCCTGCAGCTACATACGGACCGTAGCCCACTCCGATATTAACTGCTAATCTGATACTGTCTGAATCCACCAAAACAATATCACATCTGCAAGATACAAAAGCTATTTGAGGGTGCTAAAGCGTAAAATAGGTGCAAAGTCACGTCTTACGTGCTGTTGACTGTCTGCTCAAAGATTGAAAACTATGTTGGTTTTGTATATAGATAACAAAAGCTTTGGGGCAAACAAACAAACATTCATGTATTCAATACTAAAGTACGCAGAGTAAAACATCGGACAAATGCCAACACGGGGTTAGCCGTGTTTCAGTTGCAGCATGAAAGTGCATCGTTTCCCAGCATCTCACTTGGTGGCACGGCTTTTGTTTTCTCCATTGTCACTCTGTGTGTGCAGTGAATGACAGGCAGCAGCAACCTGTCGAAAAAACCTCCTCAGGCTATAGAAACAGCCCAGCACACACACACACACACACACAACTACACACAGAAGAAATGGTCATTAACAGGCTCCGAATCAGGCTAGGATTTCTTGTCCATCCCTCAAGGTTTGAGGGCTGGAGCATGTCGCTGTGTGCTTTTTGCGGTAGGAGGGTGAATTCTGAAGTGTATTTGAGAATTTGAAGATAACTAAACCAATGGACTCTTTAATATTGTGTCCACAAATGCCTCAAAGCCTTGGCATATAATTCCCACTCACAGGGGGGTTTCTCTTTTCCTCTGTCGCTCTCACTCATCTGCACTCATCCGAGAATAAACTGCAGAGGAGCATTCTGGTCATCCCTCAAAAGTTTCAAAAGAACCTGCTCCATCATCTGTGCTCATTTAGGCTGCTGAGCTGATGTGTTTTATTTGTTTGACTCCAGTAGAGGAGGCCAAACGGGAGAGTTATGTGTATAGTGGACGTCTCAGCTGTGGATTACAAAACCATGTGTATTTGTTATTTTGAACATGGTGCATCTATTTGAATTGTAAACCGCAATCTGTAAAACCTGATTAGAGGCGCTCAAATGTTCCAGGTGAATATAGTGTATGCTGTATTTCTTACATTTTGCTTTGCTGTAACTGAATGAATATCACAGAGTAGATTTGACTTTTCTTGAATCAAATTGGCACCAACATTATGTTTGAATCCATCTTATGTTTCCATCTGTCTATCCATCACCTTGTGACTCATTATATCTCCCCGCTCTCAATCTTATAGCATATTGTTAACCTTTTTCTAAGCCGCCTGCTTTGTGGTCAGGGTCCTCAAGCTTTTTGCATTATCAATATTATTCCGTCAGTTATTGTTAGACGGACATTGAAATACTTTCATCCATCAAATTTGTTAATACTTTAGTTCTGTGCTTTTTTTGTATGTTTCTCCCTCAAATCAACAAAAAGTGTTTGTATCATTGAAACCACAAAAAACCAAAACAGGCAGTATACCCGCTTCTACAGCAGTGAGTCACTGTTGGGTGTGAATGAGCTGTGTGTGTGTGTGTGTGTGTGTGTGTGTATGTGTGTGTGTGTGTGTGTGTGTGTGTGTGTGTACAGGTGGTAGTGCACGTACCATGTGTGCACACGCTTAAGAGCTGTCATTTCTCTTTGTAAGTGCTATGCAAGTACAAAAGAAAAGTGAAGCATTTTGACTTCTTTTATTTCCTGGAAGAGTAATTCTATTTTTTCAGATTAGGGCATTGACAGGGTTTTGATTTTGTATTCTAGAGTGGTTTTACATTTTTGGTTACAGTGGTGTGTGCAGGAATTCTTCAACTGGTTCGGAAGGATTGGATCACTACCCAAGAACGACATATTAAAGAAGCCCATTCAGAAGAAGAAAACAAAGTGTGGTACAATGGCTGCAAAACATGTTGTGACGGATGCTATGAACTCGTGCCCTGCAGGTCTTTGTCCGTGAAGAATTATGTGAAGGCACCCGGTTCTGAACTTTGGATCTTTGAACAATTGAGGACAATTGCTCTTTCTTCAATTCTTGTTACAGAGACTGTTTAGCTGTAGACTACAGTGTTCATTTGTCCAGATTTCTCATGTATCTGTTGGATCTTTGGCTGTAGCTCCGGATAATTTATGGTGGAGCTGAACTTGATTCTTCCTTGGTTCGATAAGAGACATATTTAGCCTTTGTTTTAAAAAACTGACATTTTTATGGAAAAAAAACAAAATGGATTCAGTGACTTTATTTTATCTCTGTAAAGTATCAATTGTAAATAAACGTCTATCCTTCTTACCTGTAACTAAATATAATTTTTATGCAATAAATTATATTTCTTAGTTTAACAATAGTCTGTGTTGTTGTTATTGAATTATTAAAACATGCAAAATTTGACTTAATAAGGTCCAACTTTTATAAAAATCCATTTAATTTCTTGGCAGTAAAAAAGTGTTTTCATCAATTACATCCCATTTCCACAGTAAATAGCGAGCTCCTCGACCTGTCACTCTCCTCACACCTCATTGGAAAATTCCCTTACGGTCGATTTGTCTTTAAAAGCTTTTAACTTGCAGGCTGTTCAGCCTTCAATTAACACGGTTTTGGAGGCACTAATAGTGTCTTTTGAGTGTTGATTCTGGGAAGTTGGACCGGCATTTTAACGCTGTGGTGTTTTTCCACGAGTGTATGAGTAGGGATTTATCAAATTGAACTCTTATACTGCGGGCAAATATCCAAATGCATCGTCTCTAGTTAGAGTGCACTGCAGTACTGTCGTAATTTAGGACTTATTATACGCACCTCTTCACTCATTTAATTAAATGTTGTCAACTGCCAAAAATGATAGGACAGTAAAAAGCTAACATTTAAACGGGAAGCTTCTTAGAGATTAAATCGTCAATAAAATATTATTTTGAAGGATTCACAATTATTTTGACAATATACAATGCCCATACATGCACAGAATTAAATGACACTGCATTTAGAAATAATAAGCATAATAAAATGATAATAGTATTTTTGGAGTCGAACTATTCATAAATATTTGGCTTTGAAAGCTTCAGAATTTCATGCAACCCTTTATTGAAACATACATGCCTATCAATGCAGAGGATTATAACCATCCCAATAACATGGAGGATGTATTTGATCTTAGACTGTACTTGGAAAACATTGTATTATTTGTTCAGATTGTTCCTTCACAATGATAAATGTTGTTGCCAGGAGGAAACAGCAGTTCAACAGCTGTGATTTAGTGAATTTCAGAGAGTTATTTGTATGATAATGATTAGTTTTGTAAAGTGTTTCATGTGTTACTGACACCCAAGAGTGTGCAGGTATTTATTCCAGTCAATGGCCTAATCCACCTGGTATGTTTTGCTGAACAGAAATTCAAGTATTTTTTTTTCTTGGTGCTGTAATAGTTTTCACACTCCTGAGAGGTGCAATAATACGCTAGATATGCGCTCCTACAGTGCCCTCATCTGGTAAATGTGATGGATAACCTTCACTTCTCAGCAAAAGTTAGGACACACGTCTTTATTATAAGATCATTATATTATTAATTCATTTGTTTAATGTTTGATCTTTATTGTGTTATATTTGTATTCCAAGTTCTTTATCATTTTCTATTCTGTTATACAAATTTCCTTCAAAAAGTCAGAGTATATTTCATAAAACAATCCTATGCCATTACAAGAGCAATATCCTTTTTATGACATACTATCCTATTGTTATTTTTGATGGCATACCGTGTCGTACATTTTCCCTTGTTATACTATGACTTTACCTACAAGGACCTAAAAACAGAAATAAGGTTAGGGGTTGGGTTAGATTCCTTTATCTTGTAACCGGAAAAAAACAGAACTTCCGGTATGTGGGGCTGCTTTCGGAAAAGAAATAAGATTTGTATTTATTTAAAAACATTTCTTAAAGTAATTTTCTGACCAAGGCTTGAATAAGTATTGCGTGAATTGAAATTGTGTTGTTATTGTAAATATTTTTCATTTGAAGAAAATCCGGTTTAACTATTTGCAAAGACAGAGCTTTTAATCTGAAGGACTCGTGCCGGAAACAGTACTGCGATTGCTGCAGTCAGCTGACCAGAAATGAAGTTTGCTGAGATAATGGATTTTTGTTTTCAGTCCCTTGTTGAAAAACACGGCAGCAAAAGTGAGGGAAGTCCAATTGTAAGGTATGTCTATCTTTTATTTAACAAGCCCAACATTAGGCACGGGTTGAGTTGGTTAGCTGACGCTAACTGTTAGCTACGTAAGGTCTTCTTATACCAGCTTAACATTTTGTTCAAATACAGTTTGATTGTTTCCAGCCGTGTCCGCAGACACATTACAAGTTAACCTGATGTCTGTTCATTGGAAGACCTCAACAATGACCAGTTAAGACTAGGGAAGAATGCTCCGAATAACTTCCAAATTATTCGTGCTAAACGTGTTGGTGGAACCTGCTGTCTGCAGTCACCTGATGCTTTTTGAGTTAAAGCTACTACGATGTCATCGGTTTTCTTAATCACGTGAATCCTGGTTCCTTCTTGGTGGCTCACGTGATGCTTTTCGGATGCTCCGTTGTGTCATGTCCGCGTTCCTTTCACCTCCTTCTAACGGTTTCAGTCACGACTTTATATAATGTGCAAAGCGAGTTGTGCTGGTTAAAGTCTGGCTTTTCTGTTTCGTGAGATCGCACCATAGTTATTGCTGAAGGTTGGTACTGTTGACTATTAAAATATAATCATGCACGCTCACGCTAGAATGAAATTACACTTGATCTACAAATGCATGGTAATAATGGCTTAAAGTTCCAGATTGCACAAACGGCATGTATTTCAATTCCCAACATCAGCACACGAACATGTTGCTAAAAAGCTGCACGCACTCTCTGGGTCAAATGCAGAAAAACAGGAAACACCTGTTCCCCATATTAAGAATCACATGGAGCTGCACTCGTATGCAAAACGCATGTATTGCAAACAGCTTGATATGTAGTGAACTCATGAACAACGGGAGGCGTGACGATCCGAGAGCCTAGAGGGATGGACATCCCTGTGCTCCAGTGGGGCTCTCCATCTTAATGAACCAATCAAAAATGCTCTTAAAGGCTATATAATTCATGCGCACTTCGTATTAAGCGCCTTTTTTCATGTTGTTGTTGTTGTTAAACTGCTTACTGCAGGACGGAATGCTCTTGTTACAAATAAACATTTTCATATTGGTTTGATTAAAGTCTCCAGTTCTTGTTTCGCTCGCACGACAGTACAATGAGTCAAACAATCACATGCCATGAACCAAATTAGTCTTGGCAGATGCTGAATTACTCAAATGCATGTGATGAAGCAAATTCCCACTAACGATCCCTCCCTTTAGTGGGAATTGACAAGGCCGGGACCGAGAGGGCAGCGGGCTCTCATCCACACGCTGCCAAATAGTACTGATTCTAAGGCCTCTTCTAATGTTGTTGGTGCAATGGAGAGGACAATGTCAAATATTAAGATGGCGAGTCATTTTAAAGTCGTGCACTTTGCAGGAATACATTTGCAAAAACTCCCCTCGCTACGCATTGAACGATAATCTTTTTAAATTGGTTAAACGAGATTCATCTCTGGATTGCAGCGCCTCGAGATCTGGACAATTGGACTGCTCTCATCCAGCTGCAACACAGAGAGCTGTCCACACTATGGCGTCACAACAAACAGGGAGTCTTTTCCTCTCTGGACGAGCACAGGTAAACATGAGTATCATCCGAGCGCATTTATTACAATGCCACTATTATTTCACACCAACGTTTTCTTTTTCTTCGTCTTCTTTACAGCTTTCCTTTTGACACCTTTCGTCCCTTTTCTCTCTTCTATTTGCTTTGAGAATATTCTTAATTGTGTCTGAGAAAATGGCCGACACCGAGCCTTTGCTGCCCAGTCTCAACTCCTCCTACGCTCCGACTGCCCTGGGCGACCAGCAAGTGTCCGACGAGGAGGACAGCGAGGACCACAGTCCCTTGGTGTCACACCCGCGCAAAGACTCCTCCGTGCCTCTGGCCATGCGCTACAGTCCAGATGACTCTTACTGTTTTGTGTACATCATCTTCTTTCTGATGGGCATCGGCTCCCTGCTGCCCTGGAACTTCTTCGTAACCGCCAAACACTACTGGCTCTACAAACTGAGCAACAGCACTTATCAAGGCGGCGCCGGAGAGGAGCAACGTTCAGACCTCGGCGTGAGTTAGACCCAATACAACCGCTACTACTATTGTTCAGCATGTGCGCACACAGGAAGATGCACATTTGCTTAATTGTGCCGGCTTTTTATAGAACTGTCACGGTCCTGTGACCGACGTGAGCACTGAGTGTTCTATCACATGTGTGAAAGCAATCCAGTACAACGCAATTATACCGTTTGAAACGCCAAAGTCAGGGTGCTGAGGGAGATCTGCTTCCTTTGTTTCAAGAATGGATGAATTTGATCGATGTTCTTCCGCTAGTGTGAGATGGATGTTTGATTTTATTGAAAACATGTCAAAGAAAATATGCTGGTTTGTCACATTACAAACGTTTTGTCTTTTCCCAAAAAACTTACAGGATTACTTTGAAAGCTATCTGGCCATTGCCTCCACTGTGCCTTCTGTGCTGTGTCTGATACTCAACTATGTTCTAGTTAACAGGTGAATATACACACACACACAGCACTTCTCCTTCAGTTGGCTTTCGTTTCCTATCAAGGGCCTTTAGTCATTTCTTTCATTTTGGACAGCATCTCTGCAGAAGAATACATAAGTGGGTAATCAAGAGCTTACTCGCTCACATTTGTTCAACAGCACAGAATGTTCTTCTCTGTGTACCAGTTGATCGTCCGCTCTTTGATAAACTCCTGCCTTCTCCTTGCTCGTCTCTGTGCTGGCAGGTTGTCTTCTAACGTGCGGATCCTGACGTCTCTCGCTGTGATCCTGTTTGTGTTCGTGGTGACCACGGTGCTGGTGAAGGTGGACGTGTCCGACCGCAGGACAGAGTTCTTTGTCAGCACGCTGGCCAGCGTGGCTGTGGTCAGCGGAGCCTCTAACCTCTTCTCTGGCAGCGTGTTCGGGATCAGTGGTCATTTCCCCATGCGGATTTCTCAGGCCCTCATATCAGGTATTGCTCTCATTCCTGTCATGTTGTCCTGTTTAAAAAAAAAAAAACATTTTCAGTCTCAATCTATTTAGCAGCTTCATTAATTCATCTTTATCTGACTGCACAACACTAGCGAAGGTCTTTTCTTGTCTCAGGCCAGGGCATGGGAGGCACGTTGAGTGCGGTAGCGTCAATAGTGGACCTGGCGGTGGCGAAAGATGTGACAAATAGCGCTCTGGTCTATTTCCTGACAGCCGACGTCATCATCCTGTTTTGCATCGTTGCATATTTGCTGCTGCCAAAGCTGGCATATTCAAGGTCAGTAGCAGCCCAATATATATTATGGTTCCTATAAAGAACCATATACCACCTATCTGTGGTAGCGCAGTCAAGTGTGCGTAATCTCTCCCGTTGTCATTTCTCCCACCACCACTAGATGGCGCCACCGTTTGAAATATTCAAATCTTGCACAAAATCCGGTCAAGTTACTTAATAATTGTAAATGCTGCATTTAAAAGTTACGTTGGACGACATAAACAAAGGCTTCCTTGGTCATTTTAACTAATATCTAAATATGCAGCCATGACGTTGAGACATTGAGCCACGATCTCCTTCCAGCTGTACGAGCCTGTGGCTGCTTCTTCTCTCCGTAGATACTACATGGAGGCGGCAGCGCGCACCAGTGCAGAGAGGATGGGCGATGGAGAAGCCGCGGGCACGGGGAGCGCCGTCTCCATCCCACCGCTGCGGCCTATCCTCCGGAAGACGTGGGTGCTCGGCCTGAGCGTCTTCTACGTCTTCTGCGTCTCCATCATGGTGTTCCCCGCGGTGTCCTCTGGAATCCAGTCGGTCAACAAAGACAGCGGCAGCCCCTGGACCACCACTTATTTTGTGCCCCTCACCAGTTTCCTCGTGTACAATGTGGCGGACTTCTGTGGCAGGCAGGCCACGTTCTGGTTGCAGGTCCCCGGTCCCACCAGTCGAGTCCTGCCCGCGCTGGTGCTGTGTCGCTCCGTCATGGTGCCGCTTCTGATGTTCTGCAACTACCAGCCAAGGGACCACCTCCGCGCTGTGCTTTTCGCCCGGGACGTGTACCCTGTGGTCTTTAACTGCGTGCTGGGCCTCACCAACGGCTACCTAGGCACCCTGCCAATGATCTATGGCCCCAAGGTCGTACCCCGAGAGCTGGCAGAGGCCACAGGTGTGGTCATGTCCTTCTTCCTTACTTTAGGGCTGGCTGTGGGATCTTCTTTCTCTGTGCTTATTGTGCACTACATCTAACCAAGCTCCTGAGCAATAACCCAGTCAGTTACTGTGGTGGAGCCTCAGAGCATTGATGCCAAAGGACTAGAAGCCTCTTTTTGATAAAGCCTGACATGAATATGTGTCGTTTACACTGCGGCCCATGATGGCAGTCCACCATAACTTGGTGTTTACATCCGAGAACAGGAGGACAATCTTCAGGCAATACCAACAATCCAAAGGGAAACCAACACATTTCATATTGCAATTCTAAAACAAAATGTATTCAAGGGGTTAAAATGTGTGGTTACTTTGGTTCCACTGATTAGAATATGCAGATGGTAAAGCATCACGTCTCCTTGAGGGTTACATTTTGTACGTGCTGGTTTTGGTGAACTGCTGTGTGCCGTTTGTACACCATGTAACTTAACTTGAGCAGACCTCATAAACTGAACATTTCCACTAACTAGTTTTATTTGTCATACGTTTTTGTAACATGCTGCAGTTCTTTAGATGTGAAGGTAATTCATCCAACCTAATAAAGTATTTGATACACTGCAGGTTTTGCAGGTTTTTGCATAGGAACTGGGAGTGACAGAATCTAAAACGAATCCAGAAAATCACATTGTATGATTGAATATATATTTTGCAGTTTATTGCATGACATAAGTATTTGATACATCAGAAAAGCCTAATTTAATATTTGGTACAGAAACCTTTATTTGCAATTAGACATCATTTTCCTATACTTCTTGACCAGGTTTGCACACACCGCAGCAGGGATTTTTGGCCCACTCCTCCATACAGACCTCAGGACTTTCAGCTCCCTCTAAAGATTTCCTATTGGGTTCAGGTCTGGAGACGGGCTCGGCCTCTCCAGGACCTTGAGATGCTCCATACGCAGCCACTCCTTACTGGCCTGGCTTTGTGTTTCGGGTCGTTGTCACGCTGGAAGACGCAGCCATGACCCATCTTCAATGCTCTTACTGAGGGAAGGAGGTTGTTGGCAAAGATCTCGTGATACACGGCCCCATCCATCCATCCTCCCCTCAACAGGGTGCAGTCGGCCTGCCCCCTTTGTAGAAAAACAACCCCAAATATTGTTTCCACCTCCATGCTTCACGGTTGGGATGGTGTTCTCAGGGTTGTACTCATCCTTCTTCCTCCAAACATGGGGAGAGGAGTTTAGACCGAAAAGGTCTATTTTCGTCAGGTGTTACTAATGGTTTTCTTTGAGACGGTGGTTCCAGGTCATTAACCAGGCTGATCCCTCACCTTCATGGTCATTGACGAGGTGACATCTTGCATGAACTTCAATTTTCTAAAAGTTGCGCCAACAATTGTTCAGCATACAATAAACTGCAAAATGACATTTTTCAAATCATACAATTTGTCTTAACGTTCCTCAGGCTTTGGTCCATGTTTACATGATCGCATCCCACAGCTGCTGCAGATTTGTCAGCTGTATCTAGGATGCGAATCTCCACCACGTCCCAACGGTGCTCTTGGATGGAGATGTGGTGACTGTGCCAGTTTGAGCTGAGCTTTGTGCCGTGGTGCATTACATGGGCCCATATACTAAAGGCCCAAAGTGTGCCAAGAAAATATTCCCCACCAGCAGCCTGAAGCGTTGAAACAAGGCCGGATGCATCCGTGCTCATGTTGACAAGTTCCGACCCGACCATCTGAATGTGGAAGCTGAAACAGACTCATCACACCAGGCTACGTTTTTGTATTTTATTTCATTCATGTGAATTGTAGTCTGTTCCCTGTTAGCTGACACGAGTGTCCCCGGTGAGGTCTGCTGCCAAGGCCAGTCTTCTCCAAGGTTCCACGTTAAGAGATGGTGTTCTGCACTCCATGGTTGTAACGAGCGTTCAGTTTGCCTTCCGATCATCTCTAGCCAGTCTGCCCGTTCTGACCTCACATCAACAAGGCATTCTCATCCACACAACTTACGCTTACTGGATATTTTCTCTGACCATTAAACCCCACCGATGGCTGGTGAACAGATCAGCAGTTTGTGACACGCAGATCAGCCCGTCTGGTACCAACAACCACGTTCAGTCCCCTTTCCTCCCCATTGGCTGCTCGGTTTGAACGTCAGCAAGTTGTCTTGACCACGTCTACGGGCCTAAATGTGTGGATAGGCTGCTTTGATGGATTGACTGTAGAGTATTAGTAATCCTCGGTATGGGGTCATTTAAGTTATTAATTAAAAGTGAATGCATTATGCAAATGTATTTTTCATATCATATTGGATATTAAGAGTGTTTAACACTGACGCGCCTCAAAGTGCTCCTGGTCTGCAAAAACGAACCTTCCAATGATCAACGGAACCAGTTGTTTTTTATGACAAGGCTGGTCAGTTAAAAAGAGAATGGAAAGTGGATTTTGATCACTTTAATTGTTAAAATGCACAGATCGACAGACTGTTTGCTTCAAACCACAAGCTATCGAATTAAAGGTGCTTACTGTCCATCAGAAACAGTGATTTACAAAGTAGGAAGTGTGCAAACAATGGGAGATACGCTCGCGGATCAAATAAACCAATTCAGGAACACATTTCTCTACATAACATTTGTTTAGGGATCAGACACAGTCGGTCGTTATTGACACATTGAGCTGAGTGAATTAAAGACTGGGTTGAAAGACTAATCAGGACAGTAGAACTCTGCTTTGGGTTAAAAATTATACAGTCTTACACCCAGGAAGAAACGTTAAGTAAAACCTAAATGACGTAAAGCTGGAAAGTGAACAAGTGAAGCTTTGGGACTAGTCACGCCTCCTCAAAAAAAATCCGTCCCTTACCATTGCGACATTATTCAAAATATCAAAGTTAATTTAAACAATTGCAGTCATGAAAAAAAGAAAAAAAAGTGAGGAACATTTCAGTCCCCCACAGGTCAATTTGCTCCCTCTATACCCACACGTGGCGTCTGCAGTGGGCCACCGCCTAAAAAAGGACAAACATGTGTTAGACAAGCCGTGAAGTAGATTCTTAGCAACACATTTAAAGAATCATTAGCAGTAAGCAATACGGCAAGAGGCTGAAGGCCTCTCTGCGCAACTGGAATACTCACGTTGCAGCGAGACGCTGTCTCTGCGTTCTTGCACCAGAACGCAGGTCCCCAGCTGCACTGCTCCGTCCCCAGCAGCCTGCGCACGGCCTCGGGACAGGCCCCCATTTTCTGTTACGTACAAACACACAGCTGAGATACTAGACGTGGCTCCACGAGAGCCAAATCTCTCCGGTTTACCGTTTGTTACCAACAACTCATGACAAAAGGGAGCAAGATAAAGTGTTGCTATCAAGTCATGAAAGGAGGAAGTTCACTCTTTACCATGCACACAAAGTCTGGGTCGAGCATCTGCAGCAGCAGTTGGATGAGCATCGGCTCGTACTGTGCGACCATCTGGTCACACTGTGGAGAAAGACAGACGAGGGTTTAGGTAACGGGAGAATGGGTAAAACGAATCGATCAACCTACTACTGTAACTAAATCACCTCGGTCTGGAGAGAGTCGGGCAAGAAGCTGCACACTTTCCTCACGGCCTCCTCAATCTGTGCCTCTGTGGCATTGGCCTCCAGAATGCCATCGATGTAGCTGACGGCCATTTTGCATACCTGGCAGTAGCCGCCGTTCTTAAAGTCATTCGGGTCGAGTGCAGCTGGACAAAAATCCCCATTATTATCATCATCATGGAAGTAAACCGTTGGCTATCACATCTAAACACAAATCCAACTCTGCAGTCTTTTTATAAGTTTGTGCTTTTGAACGGCAGTAAACTTACTGACAACAGCCCGTCCCTCCTCGTTGCAGAGTGCCAACATGGTGCAGATGGTCTTTGGGTCAGCCTGCTGCATCAGAAGCTCGATGATGGCCTGGCCGTAGGTGTCAATCAGGTCCTTGCACTGGTTGCTCAGGGAGGAGGGCAGATATGCGCACACCTTCTCCACAGCTTGAACCACCTTCTCCTGAGGAGCGAAAGAGACGAGTTGCTCAGCTTGGAACTGGAGCCGATTCTTTGCCTGCTGCACCAACAGACGAGTCGTTTCATGACCACATTGGATTCATCCAGTAGCACAAATCCCACCTCCGTGGTCTGATCCTCCAAGAGAGACTCCAACTCTTTCATCGCAAACTCACAGATGGCACATTTTGGGGACTCGCGGACTTGCACCATGGCCTGGAACACAAAGAAGTCGGTCTCACGTGCACGTACAACGCTCCGGCTCGCATCGACAGGAAGTAGGCGGGATCCAGCGGTCAGGCGCCCAGCCCGACTTACCTTAGCGGACTTGACGGGAGCAGACTCGACCTTGGTGGCGGGGAAAAGCTTGGCAGCAGGAAAAGCCTTGGCGGCAATTACAGTCTTGGCAGCCTGCAGCTTCATCATGGGAACGGTCTTCTTCGTAGCGGGACAGAAGCCAGCGTGGACACAGATGTCCTTGGGAGCCTGAGGACACAGTCATTTTTAATATATGGAAAGGACTACAGAGAGGGCCATACGTCACGACAGGTCTCTAATCTGCATACCATTCCACAACATTACCACACATGCAATACCCACAAGTTTCACAATAAAGCCACACACGTACTGACCAAAAAAAAAAAAAAAAGTATCTCTCAAACATTTAAAAAAGTCAGCCAGTGTTGAACAGCCTTATACAGCAAAAGGTTGTGCTTGCCTCGATGGTCTTTTTAAGAGCAATGTTAGTAAGTGATAGTGAAGATAATGATAGGAAGTTGTGACTTAGTTTTCACTAAATGTATGTGTAGCAAGAATCCATTTAGGCGTCAAGACACTAACCACACAAGCAGTGTTCTGGTGAAATAGAGTGGCCTCACTTTAAATGCCATCATTTGCATGCACGTCTACGGGGCCGGTGAGTAGCATTAGGAGCAGCAAGAGCTAAAAGCTGAGAGGCCCCAGACGGAGCACTGAAAGACCTACCTGTTCCTGGGGAGCGGCAGGCAAAACAGAGCAGGACAACATTAAATGGAGGAGAAAGGTAAAAGACAGGGCACAAAATAAATCAGAAATGAACGGACAGAAAGATTTAAAGATGTGGCTGAATTGAGGTCAGCAGACCAGGAGACTTAATGTAGACTTTAGCGATAGCAAAACGACTAATTATTGGAGTAGATAGTTTTGATGCTAAGTATTAATGTTAAGCTTGTAATTTAATCAGAATATAAAAAAGTATGTTTAACTGTGCCTTGAATATACAAAGCCCAGTAGGTTTGCCGTTCTTTAAAAAACAGTTTGGTGCATTAGGAGGACACTCACCATGGACATGAGCTGCTGGATGACGAGGCTGCCATACTGGTCCACATACTGCTTGCACTGCGATGAGGGAAAAACAGTTTGGTTACGGGATCGACCAAAAAACAACAAAACCCATTGATACAAGCAACTTCCTCTCACCATTGCAGACAGGCCTGATCCAAGCAGGTCACACTGGTTCTCAATATTCTCGATGAGAGAGTTGACAAAGGAGGTGTTTGCTTTGGCTTCGGTTTGAGCGTCGGTCAGGAACTTGACGCAGTCGTCGCACACGGCATCATTTTCCTACAGGGAGAAAAAAAAAACATTTAGGGCCACATAATCAGAAAGGATCCATCAACAGCTGGAGATGAGGGCGGGTAGACTACGTACCTGCTTTGGAGCCTCTTGTTCGGGGCTCTGAGGATAGAGGAGGCCGGGCACATTGAGCAGGAAGGGGGACACCTGCTGGGCGAGGTCCATCTGAGGGATTTCATTGGATACAAGCTGCTCCTGGGCGTGAGCCGTCGCCATGGCTACCTGCTGTGACTGACACAACCCCAAGGCTCCACATACCACAGTGGGATCCTCCTGAAAAAACAATGTACTTTTTTTTATCAACTTTACAAGTATTTTTAAATGTCAGGCGTTGGTTGGTGGAATTGCTTAGTCAATTCCTTAACCCCAGTTTAAAAGGAGAAAAAAAAAAAAACAGAAGATATCTAGAAATGGGACGTTTTGGGTTTTCGTGGAGATTAAACCAAAATTAAGCTCACAATAGGATCAGTAAAGAAGCAGCCCTTTTATTTCCAAAGCTGTAGAGGTGAGCTGAGACAAAATGAGCAGCAACAAATGCCCCCAGTCATGAGGTTGCGCATTACACAACAACTACTCTGTTCCCATGTAGCCGTTGAATCACTTCTCCATCAATAGCGCTTATTCAGCTCCTGCACTTTGCTGACAGCCACTTCTCTTCTCCATTCAGACACCGGGGGGCCGATGGACCATTTACGTAGAATCTTAAATGAGGCCGAACGATTAACTGATCTGCAATAAGCCTTATCAAGATCAGGCATCCAATACGGTTGTAAATGGACTTTTGTGATGTGCCCAAACTGTTGTTTTGAGTTTATGCTCACCAGTTCCCCTTTAATGATTCCCATGAGGACGGGGTAGTAGTTATCCACCATCTCCTTGCACTCTGCAGTCACCCCTTTATCCGGGATGAGCTGGCAGGCCTTCTCCAGGTACCCGAGAACCTCGGCCTGCAATGACATCAAGTCCCACGTCACTCTTCAAACAGGGAGTCTCTTAAAGTTACAGCCAAGTCGTTCTCTTATCACAAAGGTTTTCGCAACATTCTCCCCATTTGCTTTTTAATCTCACCTCAGTGGCATTGTCCTTCAGTATCTGATCCACCACGGTCAACACCTCCTTACACAAGTCACATGGCACGGATTTCTGAAACAATGAAAGGTACGGGTGAGTAAGCCTAATACAAATGACCAATGTGGGAAAGATTTGATAAAGATTTGCATTCAACCTTGTCTAAACGAAAGTCAAATATTTATTAAAACCAAACAATGTGCAGGGAAGTCACTCTAGAGCGAACGAGAGGACGGGCTCACCATCTGGGGCTTGCTCCAGACATTCTGCTGGCAGTGGGTCACAGCGCCGCACAGAGACGCTGCCTTCACATTCTGACACCAGTAGGTGGGGCCTCGGGCGCACTGCTCAGTCCCCAGCAGGGGGGTCGCTGCCACTGCGAAGGAGACAAGAGGGTCACGCGTCAGACGCGGCACGAAAACAAAATACCTGGATGCGTCACTACTGCTCCGAGGTAAACAAGGCTCAAGCCAAAACGGCTTGTCAATCATCCTTACTTACTACATGCGGTTGATTTTAGGAGTTACTGCTCTTTTAGCAGAGTTGAGATATGTGGCGTGTACGACGACAACACAGCATCCCTCAAATAGGTACAGAGAGCGGCACCGCGTCTTTAAATTCTTAGAACGGTTTGACATTTTAAAAAAGAAATGCAAAGATCCAACAGCGCTCATCCGTCTCCCTAAACTACAAACTGTCTGTTGTTGACGACAAAGGAAAATCAGCTGTGCGGAGAGAGCATACGCAGAACACTGAGGATTGTGGGAAAATGCTCTTGAACCGGTTTTAGAACTGCAAGGAAAGAAAAAAACACTAAAGCCTATTAGCTCAAACTGCTTAGTCGCATTATAATACGCTTCTCAGACAAACTTTCCCCACCGCCAACCTGCAGATCTCAACAGGCCAAAGGAGAAAAACCAAACGGACACATTTATTGACGTGTAGATCACACGTGACGATGATCGTTAGGGGTCAAGCAAATTAAAATGATTTCATTTGCGAAATAAGAGAAATAGAAAAAAAATGTTCTCAGTTCTCCATTTTACTGAAGCGGAAGAAAAGCCACATGGGAAAGTACCAGATAGCATCATGTCCCGTTTCCACCGACTCATAAAAGCTACTTGAAAAACCAGTAACACAGAACCGCTCACAAATCAGAGCAATCACACCGGTTCAGACCAATATGGTTTCAATATACTTTAATCAGTATGCAAACGTTGCCGGAGACCAGACCTGATGTAATGGAGGTCAAACAAGCCAGTTACGCCACAGTGAGACTAGACACCCCCCTCCTCACCCCCCCTCCCACTGGAGTCACATGACCAGTCACACAAAACAAAAAGTGAAAAGGACTAAATCTCTGCTCGAGAGAAGCAGCACGTTGCAGTAAAAGGTTTACAAGGCAACACACAATAAATGTGTCTGGTTTACTTCTGGTTTGTGATGAGAAGTGATGATACGCAACAGAAAGCATTTATTGATGGGGGGTAGAAACAGGAAAAAGAACCATGTTGAGCTACAGAAGTAACAGTGCAAGCTGCCCAAGCAAGAATGTGCAAATGGGGCATTAAATGAAAATGATTCTCGAACAAGAAAGCAGGTGAGATCAACACAAAACACACAAAGAACAGATACCACAACTTGAAGGAATCAATGTGGCCAAACGCCTGCAGGAAAACCACCGCTGGGTCTCCGATAAGAAAACGGGTCATTCAGCTGCATGGCCACAACACCTCCGGGAGGGGTCGAGTCTGTGTCATGCAAAGCTTCCTGGGGGGGCGACTCGGTTTCACCGGCCATGTTGGTCACAACGGGACGTTCCGATAGGCGCGCTGTTAAAGCGGCACACGAGGACCAACGCGGGGGACTTTCGCCCTCAACTTCACTGAAACAAAATGAGGAATAAAAACCTAAACGACGACCACCGTGACTTGAAAAGCTGAAATGAAAGTGTCTGGTTCAGAGGACGCCACCCGAACTTCCGTGTGGAACCAAACCAAACCTCGGTTTGATAGAGAATAGATGCGATAGAATAACGTTAAAAAGGAGCGTCAGCTGGTTTCTTTGCGAAGCGGTCCAACAACGATCCGCCTAAACAACAACACCAACAGAACACAACTCGCTTAACGTTATGAATGTGGGCTTTTTTTTTATCTAAAGACAAAGTGCGACTCTCAAAATAACCTAATATACATATTTAGTATTAACCCGCGTTTGTTGAGGTAGAACGTTACATTTGTCCGGTTAGTGCGTGTTTACAAAAGCCGCTTGAAAGGCTTCCGCCTTCCCGAGGTGAAACGCACTTCGCGTTAGCTAACGTTACATACGTACGTTAGTTAGCTAACAACACAAACACTTTCGCCCTTCACGCGGCATTTGACCGCCGGCTGACTAGTATCACCGAGTCGGCACAAACTAACGTTAACTGTCCCGCGGTGGACTCGTTACCTGCGGACACGAAGAGTAGAGTTAAGAGCAGCATGACTGCGCGGTTTCCTGGCTCGTCTCGCTGTTGTGCGTGAAGTGCGCTGCGGAGAGGTGGGTGCTGCAATGCAGGGGGGCGAGGCCTGCTGCTCGACTTTATGACGTCTCAGTCAGCTGACTGTGTCCAACGGGCCACGTGACTCTGACTCGGCCGATGCTTGAGGTGAAAATAACAGTCACTAAAAATCAGAACCTAAAGACATTTCAATTCAAACACACATATGTAAATAGAGAAATTTATCTCTCTCTCTATATATACATATATATATACATACATACATACATACATACATATACGTGTTTGAATTGAAATTTCTCAAGATTCTGATTGTGTGTATATATATATAAAATACAGACCACGTGCGGAAAACCAGGGCAATGTGCAGTGTTTAGTGATGTTTGGAGGAAACCCAGGATATTTTATTATTAAACAGCTTGTGTTTCTACACCAAACATTGGGATGTTTACTGCCCATTATTCATATAATGGCTGTATAGTTGTTGTTTTTTAGCAGTCACAGAAAGTCCCTAGAAAACACTGATAACCTTGACCTCTCATAAGTATGGGATGGTTGCTTAATTTGATGAAATCAAACTTATCCAGGCTTGGAAGCAGAACAAAACAAAAGTAACACTTGTTTATTACTAACAGCGTTTTGACATAGCGCAATGATCACGTCAAACATGCTACTCACAAGAACTCAGCGCTGCATCAACCACGTCTATGCAAATTATAAAAAGAACTGAAACCACCATCTCATCCACTCATGTGATGCACAGTGCCTCACATGTTTTAACAAAAAGTCAGGGAAACATGAAAATGTGAAAAAAGTAGTTTATTATGACATAACTTCCAAATGTTTTGTCTCTTAGGTCAAAGGGGGGAGCATCACAGTGTACATGATCAGGATACGGGCTGTGGAAACCTGTAGAACAAGAACAATCATTAGAGAGTTCGGACACAACCGTCAGTACGGCATGATCTCCATAAACAGAGGGCAGTAACGGAATAAACACATTCAATGAAGTCAGTAAATATGTAGAACAATATATATTGTTCTGACAAGTGCTCCATATTTATCACAAAAACATAACATTTTGATACAAACTACTAATGTGGATTCTCTACAAAATTGTGAAAAAGATATATGGAGCATGACATTTTAAAAGTTGAATGAAAAAAGTATTTATATTTTACATACTATTTAAAAGGCAACAGCATTTCTAAAATCACATATTGGCCATTCCTGGACAGCAAATTCTCAATTCTTCTTGTCAATTAGCCTACACTGATTTTATTTAGTTCCATTATCGCTATCTATATGGATGCCAAAAACATTAAATCTTACAAGTTTGTCCCCATTATACTTACACAAGTTACTCGTTTCCAAAAGTACCCTAAGCAGAAAGTATGTCCTTTAAGTCCAAATTTACTTCCACAAAGAAAAAGACAGCGACCTAAGAGGCACGGCACAGTGTTGGCAAATCAATAATAGCAATACAGTTATATTAGATGACTAGAGGGGAGAGCATCATTCCTATTTTCGAATTTTAAAATGACAGATTTTTAGTTAACTAGTTAAGAAAATAGGATCCGCCAACATCATCAGCCTTAAGGGGAAGGCGTTCTGTCTTCTTAAAAACTAGGATCCATTCAAAAATCCCTCACTTTCGCAACACTGTTTTGTGAAATCCCCTAATTGAAGCCGCAGAAACAAGGCCAGACTGCGCTGGCTTTGCACTTGCGAATCCACTCCCAAGCCCTTTGTTTGAACCTTTTCAAGATGGGGCCGTCCTGACAAAGTTTGGACATCTCCATGGGGATTTACAGTAATCCTCCCAGTATTTTTGTTTTGTTTTGTGATCGTTTTTTCAGAATCAATATCATATCAGGATAAATATTGCAAAAATCAGTGTATTAGCATATTATTTAACCTCAACTGCAAACATTTGATGAAATGCCTTCATAAATACAAGGAGTGTTTTTTAATAATAGGTTAAAAATGTAAATGTTGGGCATGTAGATTTAACAAGTGGTATCATTGTGATTGACATTTTGCTGAAGAAATTGTTTTCTCATTGATTTAGAAAGTAAATACATTATTGAAATAATATTTATTTGCAGCACTAAATCCATGCATGAAACTGTTAACCTTTTAGCAACTCGTGAAAACTGCCGTTAATTGAAACGTGACTCCTGCACGAGCTCTGGGTTTAATTCTTAAACGGATACATGGTTCACATTGATGCACATGGCTTCAGCAACGAGAATCACCCCTTACATGAAATCACTGTTGGGGGCCACAGCAGTTGCTGCTGGAAACCTGGTCGTCCTTCTTCAGCACAGTGGGCCTCACCACGTCCACATCCCGGTGCAGATGATCCAGTAACCCCGAGAGGATGTTGGTGGCCGAGTAGAAATCGATGAGAAAGTACGCTCCTCGGCTGTGCTTCTGGTTGTGTTTGGTGATCGCGTAGGGCAACAGTCTTTCCCCCAGGTTCTCCAGGTCCCTCACCACCGCGCCCCGCTGCATCAAGCTCTCCACCGTCCGCCGGAGGGCGGCCGACGTCTCCGGCCGCTGCATCGCCTTCAGGATCAGGGCCAGTTCGTAGCGAGGCATGGCTTCGGTGGAGAAATCCTCGATTCACACTCTTAATTCAGCTGGAAAAGGGTCGGTGTCATTGCGAGATGAACCAGCTGAAGGCGACCATGTTATGACACGAGGGACAGGAAAGGTCTTCGGTGATGACGTATAAAGTCCGCGTCTATGTTGATAACGAAATTACTTATCCGAGCTGAAAAAGTAATAGGATATATATGCAGTGATACTAATAACACTAAACGAATATATTCATTCAAAACTTTAAAAATAATTAATTCCTGGGAGGAAATTGTTAATGGCAATGAGTTGTCACGAGAGTTCCTTGTGCGACCCGGAACAAAATGTTTTTTTTTTTAATCAGAACCGTAACTTCCATAAATGTATACCACTATTAGAAAAGGAAAATGCCGCAAATGAAAAAAAAATCCATCCTGTCCAAACAATGGATCAAAATGGTTCAAATGCCTCAAACTGATATTCCTTTTGAAAAACCAAGCTCGTGTAAACTGTTTGAAGTCGACGACTACGTCATCAATGTGCGCCTGCACACGTGCTCACAAGTGCAGTTCACTTCCTTTCCTTACAGGAGCGCGTTGAAGATGGCGGAGCAAAACGCGAAGCCGAGTGATCTTTACAAATGCGTATATTCGTTTCTGCTGGAGAACAAATTCACAAAGGCGGCTGCGCAGTTCGTGAAACAGACTAAAGTGGTGAGCCGCTCATCGCGTGTGTTGTGTCGTGTGTCAGTTAGCGCTCACGTGGAGTTGTGTAACGTACAGGCTGCGTGCAGCCGCGCGCTAGGTTAGCACGTGGAGTGGCACAGATGAGCGGTGTTCCATCCATCGCTTGTTAATATGCAAGTAATTAATGTTCGGACCTGGTAAATTGCATGCGGGGATCATATGTTGTCTGTGGGGGGTCATTGTGTGGGAATTGCAACTGTTTCGTCTATACACGTTGTAACTCTTGGGCTAAATGAGTGCTTCACGTGTTTCTCAACAGACACAACAAGACCAGAATGAAGAGAGCCTCACCAGCATCTACGACTTCTGGGTGAAGTGAGTTACTCATCTCTGTGCTTAACGTTATTTAGTTTTTACGAATATTAATATATTTGTATAAAATATGGCCATGTAGCTTTGTGTTTGCAGGTAACCGATCTGTTTTATCTCAGACTCTCTCCAAAGCAGAAATCTACTGTAAAGTTTAGTGAACGTTTGTGTACTTAAGTCAATATCTGAAAACCTGTTTCACTGGTGGTATTATCTAGGGGTGGGAATCTCTTGGCACCTCACGATTCGATTCCGATTCAGAGGTCAACGATTCGATTCTAAGCTGATAAAACGATTATCGATGAATCTCGATTTTCTCAAATCTAAGTTTGCTACTCAGAGGTTGCTAATCACTTCCTACTTTATTTGATAATTAAAGAAAATCAAGATGAATTACCTTCTCTCATTTTTTCTATCAACAATGCAAGAACCAATGCAGCTTGCATTTCAACACAATATGGAAGTAGCCTCTGTAGAAAAAAATAATGAACAGATTCATTTTTTCTTTTAAATGAAGAAGAAGCTGCTCTTAGTCTCAGACCGGTCCGTATTTGTAAAACACTGGAAAAAAGTAAAAATCTGTGAATATCTTGCCAACTTTCAATATGGATTGACTTTTTGGAAAAATCGAAATAATGAGGTAAGATATGCGCAGGCTCCTTCATAGTTCGGTAAAGTTAGCAAGATATTCAGACTGACGGACCGGTCTGCGAGCTGGACGCATCGCTCTTAATGTGCCGGTAATGATGGTAAATGATGGTTGTAGCTGGTTGTCATCTACGGTCCACTACGATTACCGAAGGGGGGGCGTTTGTTTTTTGACGACGTTTTATCTCATAATTTCGACTTTCTATCCCCTTACATTAGTGCAGAAATGGGCTTCTATAGTTGTGTGAATGCATCACTCCAGCCAATCCAAAGACGGGGTTTGTAACCAACCAGATGTAGATACCATGGTGACTGGCTCCGCCCCCTTACTGTCAGAAGTAGAAAACACCTTTGAGCGTGAGCAGAGACTAACCTCGCGAGCGAGGAAGTTCACACTCCGCGAGCGAGCAAATATCTTGCGCGAGATTAACTTTTTTTAAATTCCGATTATTAACTTTTCTGAATTGAGAGAATCGAGAGAAATCGAAGAATCGATTTTTTATTTTTATTTTTTCCCCCACCCCTAGTATTATCAGTACCCATGTTCAATGTTGACCCATTGAGCTTAAAGTTAAGTAGGAAATATCATTTCAAATTAAAAGCGCTTACCGCCACTGCTGTCGCCCCAGTGTATCCTGATCCATACACTTGTCGCTCTTTTGTTCTGTTAGACACTGGTCTTAATTTATTCTAAACCTAAATACAACCTTGGTTCTTCTAAGGTCGCCTGAAGCCAAGAAACGAAAGGCACCTCCTAACAAGAGTGATGCTACAAACGGTCCGTTAGCCAAGAAAGTCAAAAAGAGTGCAGAGAGCTCCAGCAGTGACGAGTCGAGCAGCGAGGATGAAGAAGCTGTTGCCAAACCAATCAAGGCAGCTCCTGCAGGTACAGTCCAGAGAACGGATGCATCTGGTTGAATAATGACCGTAATGTGCCATTCCCTGATCTTGGATCGCATCATTAAATTGCATGTTTGTTTTTAGCTACCAAGCCGATGCCTGCTAAAGCAGCAGCTGGTAAAGCTGCATCCAGCAAACCTGCAAAGACAGCGGAAAAAGTAGGGGGAAACCTCAGAGATACTACTAACCTAGTCTTTGGTGCAAGGCTACGTTTTTGCATTTGTGCTTTAATTTAAAATTGTTTTTGCACTAAGGCTCCAGTGAAGTCGCCTGCTGTGGCGACAAGGAAGCAGGACAGCAGTTCCAGCAGTGAAGAATCTGATTCTGAAGACGAGAAGACCGCCCAAGCCCCTACACCAAGTGAGTTTTGGTCATACACCTTGTGTAATGCAACCGCCCTGAAATGTGTACTAAAATTGAGCTGATAATAAAATGTGGCTTTCCTAATTAACTGGATTCATCTCTGATCATTAGAAGCCAAGGCTGGTGCCGTCACCGCAGGCAAACCAGCGGTTCCTGCTAAAGTTGCAGCTCAGAAAAAGCAGAGCAGCAGTGAAGATAGTTCCTCTTCTGAAGACGACAAACCGGCCAAGGTACGCAATAAGGATTTGGGCATATCTAAATGCCAGTGCACATTTGCAATAGTATTGATTCCAGAGGTTAAACAATTCAGAGCTCAGTCAAATGGTGATTGTACGAGGTAAATATATGTATTCATATACATAAATGACACCTGTCCTCATAGGCTGCAGCCAAACCTGCCGCGGTAAAAGCCGCCGCTGCTGCTGCTGCAGAATCGAGCAGCGACGACTCTTCTGAAGACGAGGCTCCGCCCAACAAAAGACCCAAAGCAGGTATAGGTTTTATGGCTTTTTTTCCCTTTCTTTTTTACACAATTATACCCTGGTTAACTTCCACACATTTTTTTTTTTATGGAAAAGGGCTGTCCTGGCATATTTTCATAAGTTTGATTGCTTTTTTGCTTGTCAGTTTTCTAAAGAGTTTAATCATTTTAACCTCACTGGAGCCTCGTTTGAAGTCCAGAATTATGATGCTGACTCATAGTCGCCCCCCCCCCCCACTCCTCATTCTTTTGCCTCATTCACGGCCAAGACCAGATGAAGTCCAGATGATGTCATAAGCCGTTTCCTTGTCTTGATAGGAGTATACAGTGCAGTCCCACCTCCTGCTTTGATCCAGGAGGCCCCAGCGGCGCCCGCAGCCGCCAAGTCCAAGGATAGTGACTCCTCAGACAGCAGTGACGAGGAAGAAGACAAAAAAGTAGCTGGTAAGAGATGCCTACCTTTTTCCCAAACGGAAAGTATCCGTGTATTTAATGGTGTCTAACAGTGTTGTAATCCTTAGCAAAACCTGCACTGGTGAAAAAAACAGCTGCCAAACCGGTGGTGCCCAAACCCGCTGCAAAGAAGCAAGAGTCCAGCTCTGAGAGCTCCGGTAAAAATCATTGTCATTTCCTTCACTCTTTTGCTGATGAAAAATATGTGAAAAAAATATTTTTCCTCCTGGCTGTTTCTTGCCAGATTCAAGTTCAGATGAAGAGGTGGTAAAGAAACCAGCAGCGGCGAAACCAGCGGCGGCCAAGACCACCCCGGCTAAAAAAGGCCAGACTTCAAGCTCAGGTAATAGACAGATTTTTAGCATGTGAACTCAGCATTTCTGTTAACGTGATTATATTTCTTGTGGTACCTTGAATTAGCTATAATTTGTTTAGTCCCAACAGTGAGTTGGTGAGATGAAGGCTACCATGTATCCGTAAAGTCCCGTATCATAATAATTGTCGGAAATTAAATGATTTTCATTCCTGCATTTTTGTTGCACTCATTTGCCAGTTTATTAGCCTCACCTAGCTAAACCTGTTGACCTGAACACGGTGGTAAGATGTGTGGCAGGGCTGTAGTTTTACACGTATTGGTTTTAGGTGGGTGTACCCAATAAACTGGCCACTTACATAATTGTCCATTTACAAAATGTCTAACATTTTGTCTACTTAGATAGCAGTTCAGATGAGGATGAGGCAAAACCTGCTGCTAAATCTGCAGCAACCAAACCCACAACAAAGGCACCCAAGAGCAGCTCTGCTACACAGGACTCCTCTGAGGATGAACCAGTGAAAGTCAAGCCGGCTTCAAAGCCGGCTACTCCAGCAGCAAAGCTTGCTGCTACAGCAGAAAGCAGCTCTGACTCCTCCTCAGAAGATGAAGAAGCAGTCAAAGCTAAACTTGTAGCAGCTAAAAAAGCTACACCTGCAGCAAAGCCTGCCACTCCTGCAGTGAAGCCCGCTACGCCTGTATCAAAGCCTGCTGCAGCAGAGAGCAGCTCAGACTCTGACTCCTCCTCTGAAGACGAAGCAGTCAAAGCTAAACCTGTAGCAGCTAAAAAAGCCACACCTGCAGGTAAACCCACCACGCCTGCAGCTAAATCAGCTACACCTGCATCAAAGCTTGCTGCTGCAGCAGAAAGCAGCTCAGACTCTGACTCCTCCTCAGAAGATGAAGAAGCAGTCAAAGCTAAACCTGTAGCAGCTAAAAAAGCTATGCCTGCAGCTAAACCCACCACGCCTGCAGCTAAACCAGCTACACCTGCATCAAAGCTTGCTGCTGCAGCAGAAAGCAGCTCAGACTCCTCCTCAGAAGATGAAGCAGTCAAAGCTAAACCTGTAGCAGCTAAAAAAGCTACGCCTGCAGCTAAACCCACCACGCCTGCAGCTAAACCAGCTACACCTGCATCAAAGCTTGCTGCTGCAGCAGAAAGCAGCTCAGACTCTGACTCCTCCTCAGAAGATGAAGAAGCAGTCAAAGCTAAACCTGTAGCAGCTAAAAAAGCTAAGCCTGCAGCTAAACCAGCTACACCTGCATCAAAGCTTGCTGCTGCAGCAGAAAGCAGCTCTGACTCCTCCTCAGAAGATGAAGCAGTCAAAGCTAAACCTGTAGCAGCTAAAAAAGTCACACCTGTAGGTAAACCCACCACGCCTGCAGCTACACCTGCATCAAAGCTTGCTGCTGCAGCAGAAAGCAGCTCTGACTCCTCCTCAGAAGATGAAGAAGCAGTCAAAGCTAAACCTGTAGCAGCTAAAAAAGCTACACCTGCAGCAAAGCCTGCCACTCCTGCAGTGAAGCCCGCTACGCCTGTATCAAAGCCTGCTGCAGCAGAAAGCAGCTCAGACTCCTCCTCTGAAGACGAAGCAGTCAAAGCTAAACCTGTAGCAGCTAAAAAAGCCACACCTGCAGGTAAACCCACCACGCCTGCAGCTAAACCAGCTACACCTGCATCAAAGCTTGCTGCTGCAGCAGAAAGCAGCTCAGACTCTGACTCCTCTGAAGATGAGCAAGAACCAACCGCCAAGGCTAAACCTGCTGCGGCTAAACCTGCTGCTGCAAAGCCTCCTGCTGAAAGCAGCTCCGACTCTGACTCTTCTGAAGATGAGGCTGCAGTCAAATCAACGCCTGCGGCTAAAGCAGCAAAGCCTGCTACGCCTGCATCAAAGCCTGCTGCTGAAAGCAGCTCTGACTCAGACTCCTCCTCTGAAGATGAAGCTGCTGTCAAAGCTAAACCTGTAGCAGCTAAAAAAGCCAAGTCTGCAGGAAAGCCAGCCACTCCTGCATCAAAGCCTGCAGCGGAAAGCAGCTCGGATTCTGACTCCTCCTCTGAAGATGAGGCTGCAGTCAAAGCTAAGCCAGCTACGCCTGCAGCTAAGCCAGCTACGCCTGCATCAAAGCTTGCTGCTGCAGCAGAAAGCAGCTCAGACTCTGACTCCTCCTCTGAAGACGAAGCAGCGGTCAAGGCTACGCCTACATCTAAAGCAGCAGCAGCAGCAGCTAAATCTGCGACCCCAGTCACAAAGCAGACTGTGGCAGCAAATGGCAGCAGCTCTGAATCTGACAGCTCTGACTCTGAAAATGAGGCGGCCAAACCTGCAGTCAAGAAACAAGCTCCAGCCGCATTAGTGGCCCCTGCTGGAACGCCCAAAGCCACAAAGGCCACCCCTGCTAAGCCCGCAGTCACCAATGGAAAGACGTCAACCCCGAAGGCAGCAACACCAAAAACCCCACAAAAGCCAGCAGAGTCCTCGTCCAGCGACAGCAGCTCTGAGGAGGAGGAAGAGGCCAGTAAAAGTGCCGTAAAACCCGCCGCGACACCCAAGACGACCCCAGCTTCTAAAGCTCAGGAGAGCAGCAGCTCCTCGGACAGTTCATCAGATGAGGAAGCACCCAAGAAAGCCGTCACGGCGCCCAGCACCCCCGCAGCAAATGGTGAGTTCCAATAAAGTAATCGACATGATCAGGCCACTTTAAGGGGAGATGGATCCCTCTGTTAGCCAGTAGAGTAAATGTTTTACTGGCCTGTGAAATGTTTGTAGCTTGGGTGTATGTAACGCTTATGTGACAATTTCGCCCTCCACTAATTTGAGCAGCACAAACGATGAGTTTTCCTCTGAATACAGGTACAAACGGAAAGAGAAAAAGGGATAAATCTTCCAAAGAGGAAGAGACGGAAGTCACACCAAAAAACAAGAAAATCACGACCACACCACAAACGTTTCCTAAAGTCCATAAGAAGGTAGGGCCTGCTCGACCAGAGCGCAGTCTCCTGAAGGTGGGGTCGACCCTTGATTTATTAAGATTGACTTGTCTTTCAGACCACAAACGAGCCATTCCGTAGAATAAGAGAAGAAGAAGTGGAACTAGATCCCCGTCTACAAGACAACTCTTTTGACGCAAAGGTGAGCTCGGTACCCACTGTGGCTTCTTGCTACAGCACTAAGACTGTGGATGTGATCCAATTTATGTCTCAACTAACATGTCCATTTGTCTCTGCTAATCCAGTCTGGAGCCAGGGGTGACTGGGGCCAGAAAGCGAACGACGTGCTCCGGTTTACAAAAGGAAAGTCGTTCCGCCACGAAAAGACCAAGAAGAAGAGGGGAAGCTACTGCGGCGGCGCCATCTCCACCTCAGTCAACTCCATCAAGTTTGACAGTGACTAAGGACTCTCAATCTGGCCCCTCCCCCCTGGACTTCACTGTACCTGTGATCAGGACTCTCTGTTGTCTACACCCCCCCAGCTGACGGGACGTGACCCCACAGCTCAGCTGGCACTTGCATGCAGTGATCACAGAGGGGCACTGGTTTAGTCTCTGATCTGAAGCGACGCGTTACTTGAGCTTAGGCAGCAAGAGGTAGAATACTGGTTACGGTTGACATCACTTATAGCCACTAGGTGGCTGCAGGCCACTTCTTAATGGGGGAAAAATACGTTTTTTTCTTTTCTTATGCTTTTTAGTTAAACTTGTACTTCATTATCAAATTAAAAATGTCTTTCTTTGCAACTTTTCTATCAAGCCATCCCCGTTTGTTATGTTAAGTCTGGCATTGATTATTTTTGTTTTTCTAATGGATAACATTGGTTCTTCAAGGTTAGTCAACCTCTATTTGGATACGATTTGAGTCGAGAGGGCTGCGTGCTCAGTTGTTTTCATCTTAACGCCATACGAGCATGGAGGGTAAACTGAGTTTTATACAGTGTATTTATTACATTTTATTCTCGTTCAATGGTTAGGCCCTCAGGTAGTATTTCCCATGCTATTCTAAAGCCATTTTTCTTTGAAACGGTTTGTTCTGACGTTAACATACCTTTTTTTGTCTATTTCCCAATCTAAAGGAGCCATGTGTTCATTTGTTTGACTTTCCTCTTCCAGCGTTTGGACTTTTTTTGTTTTATTCTTGTGGCTGTAATTAAAACTTAAATGTTGGTGTGATTGTATAACCTTTCTTCCAATGTTTTTAATTTCACTGTTCTACATGAATTGGAATACTTAAGTTAATTTGTTAGCTCGTATTTCGGGGGAAACTTACCTTTTTTTTCTTTTCCCTAATCGATACAAACACGCATGGCTACTCGCAAACCCTGCTAGGGAAATATATCAAACCATGTTTCTGATTCATCAATAAAGTCTTGAGTCTATAGTAACCAGTTCTTCCTCCTGTGGCCAATGAGCAAGCTCGTTAGTCACCACTAGATGGCCCTCTGGATGCAACTATGGGACAGTATGAGGGAAGCTGCTAATATGGGTCAAGCTCCACAGAGGCTGGACCTTACACTCCATTAACCAACACCAAAGAACCCTGATGACATCACCAGGGAAGCAACCTTAGTATTAGTATTTTATTGTTGTACCAAGCAGTTACATTAGCAGGCTACATCTTTGAAGGCAAAACATGTTTTGATCACCTTATACTGAAAAATGAAGTAAGTGATATTCATGTAAATACAGCAACACTATAATCTGATTGTAGATATAACACTTCCCTCAGTAACCAACTTATTTTAACAGCGGTGAAAGTAAAACCTCAGCAGGCAAAGCGATCCTTTGGCTTCAGTTTAGACTAATCGGACTGAGTAAACTTCTTACATTTCTAAAATAAGTTTGGTTTTGCATTAACTTATGGTACATGACATACGGCCTAATGGAACGCACACTTGCTGGACTCCGCAACACTCGACAAACAGGCCGAGCGCTGAAGCTGTGTACATTTCTGTGCCTCCACATTAGGAGCTGTTGACTTTGGAGGGAGGTCTGCAGTCGCTCCAAATAAAGACCCCCCTCCCCTCCAGAAGGCCGACAACCTCTAACCACTGGGAGTTGCTTCAGTGCTCACCAAGCGAGGGAGAGCTACTGGAGAGCTGTTGCTGGGTCGTTTTTCAGCGCAGATGGAGCTGATGTGGAGAGACTCAATGCAGTTGGGTGATTTTGGCCACCAGCGTTCTAGTGCGTTTTTTTCTTAGTGTTAGTTATTTTTATAAGGACTAGTACTTGTTTTAGCTGCTTTGTATCACAATAAATATATTGTTTTGGGTTGGAGTTTTAGACATTTTTAAACCCCTGCTCAGAATGAAAGATTGTGGTTTAAATAAAAAAGGAAAGCGTATGCAGATTGATCTACTATCATCAGCACCATCAGTCAGGGTGAAGGACGAGCCGATGGACAGAGCTCTGCAGCAGATAAACTATCGACTTTGCGAATATGTCCCCAAAAAACAACGTGTATGTTAAATGTTAATGTTTTGGAAGTGGCTCTTAATGTGAGTGTTGTAGGGTTGATACACCAGTGCGGCTGCTCGGTCACAGATCAATTTTTTTCCACGTGATTGAAGCGCCATGCCTGAGGAGTTCCGACGAGAGGCCTTTCGCTCTAATCTGCTGCCCAGCCATCGCTCCGGAGGACCCCCTCCGTCTGTCGGTTGCAGTGTTCAGGAGAAAGCACGGCAGCGCGTTTCGGGCCAATGCAGCACAGTGTGCACCGAGGGGCTGCAGGACGATCTTTTAATGGGCAGCGCCGGCCGAGGGCCGCCCAGCCTGTCCATTTCAATTAGACAAAACTGCTGACCGCTCTCGCGCGCCCACACACATTAGCATCTTCCCCGTGCACACACTCGAAGCCACGTTGTACAAGCAGCAGAGCAGGGTTTTTTTTTTTGTTGCTTAGAAGCGTTACACTCAATTTCATTATACACGACTTCTTCGGCGCCATAGATTAGTCCCGCTAATTCCCCTCTGTTCTCTCCACTCGGAGTCAAAGGGCACAAATTAGAACATGGCAGGACAACAAACCCACCAGTAAAGCAGCTTTATGTTATTAAAAACATCTTTAATAGAGCATTTCTTTTAACATCCATCTGTTATAAAGTGTTTCAGAGGGAAATGGATGAATACACATGTTGAACAGTATACATTGTCCAGCGAGACAAGCATCACTGTGCTAATATGGGACAAATGGTGCAGTTGGAGTTAGCAGGCCGGATGAAGAGGTGCCAACAAGATTACCCACGTCTGCTCTCTGTACCAACAAAGGAATAACTAAGGGTCTGTTGTCTGCATACAACAGACATGCTGCAGCATTTACACAGCTGAAGGTCAAGTAGGATTTATTACACTGCTCGACCTCGAAAACATGTGAAATGCACACGAGCGGTTTGTGGTGGCCACAGCGACCTGCTGACAGTGCATTCCTCTATAGAATATGGAACAAATCGTCATTTTATTTCACACAAATACCCACGATGCCTTGGACAGGGATGCCAGAGAAGCCTTTTAGGGACACGGTGCGCTACGTCAGCGCGCTTATGTCCATATATGGACGGTCTGAACTACAGCAACATGCGTTAATGCGTCAGAGCTGCGGCCCCAATGATTTCATTTCATTAAGTGTCCGTTTGGATCGTTGCGACGTCTTGAAGGAAAAGGTCTCTGATGCTGATGTTGCTTCATTCCAACGCCGGCCTTATTGCGTCCTCGTTGTGGCAAAGTCCCAGGCCGTGTCCTGGGCACACTTGCACATGGCGCGCACCAGCCGAGTGAAGCCCATGTCCTTGGGTTTCTCCAGCCCACGCATCAGCCGCTGCTTCATAATTGCTATGAACTCCCTATTACTGAGCTCTCCATTCCCTGAAGGGGGAGGGATGATAAAATAAAGGGGGTAAGGAGGGGGGGCAACGTCCATTTATTGATGATGTCTACCGGTCAGTTTCAGCTTGATTTGCTTCCCATGAACAGAGTCAGCCGGAGTCACTCACCATCGCAGTCGAACAGCGCAAACACCACATCACACACGTGGTCCGACAGCTCCACTTTGGCCACGGTGCGGGCCACCTGCTTCATGGTGACTGAGGGACAGAGGGAGCAAACCACAGATTTCCATCATTTTGTGGGAGACAGTAAACGACTTCTGTGGAGGACACAGTGGGATCGATAGCAAGCAGGACTCCCATTTATCTGATAGAGAGAGCAACAATAGGGGGGTGAGAGGAGGAGGAGGAGGGGGGGACCGCATCGAGCGAAAAAATGAGAGTAAAAAAAAAAAAGAAAAGAAAAAAAACACCTTTGGGGTTCATTTTTGGAAAAATATAAAAATAGATAATATAATGAAGAAAACCTACATAGACTGGGACTTTAAAAAAGGAACCCAAGGGAAGGAGCAAAGTTACAGAGAAACAGGAGGAAAAGGGTGAAGGAATCTACCTGAAAATGGCAAAGAAGGAGAGAAGAAAAACAAAGCTGAATCACTCCACCAAGAATGCCATTAGTGGTCTGCTTTTCTAACGTTCAACAATGAGCAGTTCCAGATAACACCCACATAGAAGGAACTGCACTAAAGGGTGTGAAATCACCACGGTGAGATGTAGGAGATAAAAGATGAGAAACAAAAGAGGATCAAAAGATGTAAAATAACAGTATAACCAAAAAAAGATACTTAAGATGAACATTTTAACAATTACACACCTGTGTTGCACTGAATCCTTGAAGAAAATATATAACTTAAGATTTTACATCTGTACATCTGTATAAAAAGGTATGCAACGTGAGCTAGCAGCTGGATGAATGGGAATTTAACTGTAGTGCACAAGTTATATGAGAGTTTGTAAACGCATGTTTCTGGTTTTACATCCACCGCTGATGGAAAATCAACGTGTTCTTCGAGGATTCAAGGCAACAAGAGGCAAGTCATTGAAATACAAAAAGATCATATTGTGGGCAAAGTATTCCTTCAAGGCTGTACAAGTATAGTGAAGACGTATGAAGGTTTAACTGCACGAGGATGGAGGAAATCTGCACACGCCCGCCTACAAGCTTCCAACTAACAGACAAGATGCCTGATGTTTTGAATTATGAAACGAGCACCTCGGGGTAAACGGTGCACTTGCAGCAGAAGCTGAATGAATCAGAACAAGTAGATGTGCTGACAGGAAATACATGGAGGCCTATTGAAGAGCGCAGTAGGATATGGATAGACTGAATGGATATGTCGTTGTAAAAAAAAAAAAAAAAACATACTACTGTTCTGATGAGTCGCCAATTCCGTTGTCAAAAGAGAATGTATATGAATAAAAACATTAAGACAAGATATTAAATACAATAAATATAAAAGATAACACAGGCATCAAACCACTTGCTGCATTATAGAGGCTGCAGGCCTGCAGCGCTCACATGTAATCGAATTTCATTGTTGGGATGTGACAAATTACGTCAGTACAAATTGATGTTGTGGAAGATAAAGGACTAATTTAATAAAGAATTTGACGCTTAGTAGTAGATCTCAGATCTCATTGGACACTTGGATCCATGAACTGGATCCTATATTTAAACACGGTACGTTTGTTTTGAACAGACCTTCCACTCTCTCCTCCGTTTTTGCATTTACAATTAAGTAGTTCAGGGAATATAATATTACACTTACTGTTGGTTCCTATGGTAACCACAGGTATTACAAAAACAAGCCAGGACTGAAATCTTTAGGAGTACTTTAGATGTAGGCGCGCTTGCTCGAGGGTACTTCAGAAGCCATTGCGGAGCGTTTGTTACCCTCCAAATCACAGATGATGCACCATCCTAATGACGGGTCAGCGCAGTCCCAACCCCACTCGACCTCCCTGGGAGGATGCTCGTGTCAGTGGGCCTCAGCAGGTCGATTAAGGGATGGACGGGCAATCCGGCCACAAAAGGCTGAGCTGGGATCGGGAGCGAAGCCAAGGAGAAGGAGATGTGGGAAGCTAATCTGGCGGACAAAGTGTTAACTAACAGCTCTAAGAGACAACAGTCGAGTACTTACGGCAGACAGAGAGGGATTGTGGGTGTACCTTTATCTATGGAGGCTCCGGCCATGTGGTAGAAACTCAGCGCCGTGTCCACGTCGTTCACGTTCTTTAGGAAGGTAAAGAAATTCTCCACCTCCTCAAATGTGATGCCCTGCAAAAGACGGGAAAATAAACGGAGATCCTGCTTTTTCTGCTGTTTTACCTGAGCCGACACAGCCCCCCCACTTAACATTGTCATCGCACAAACTGCGACTGCACAACAAACATTTGGGAGCAGCTCAGCAGTTTGACACAGATGACGAGAGGAAGGCGGCAGAGGCAGTCGACACACATGAATAAACAGTGTGCCACGGCAGGACGGGGAAGCATATGTGCACGAGTCACGTGCACATATAAATAGTCACAAAGCTGCCACACACACTGATGAGCTCATTTGCAAAGAAAAGTGAGCAGCTGGTCTCGGGCAGTAAATTTACACTACAGGTTACTCAACGCTGGCAGACACACCGGCGTTGCCCTGGACACACAGCAGCTTCCCTGCTTCCCACTTATCTGCTAAATGCAAAAAATCAAATGTGTCTTGAGAGACAATTACAGCCTTTGGGTAGAAAAGGGGATGTATTTTTGCTTCAGGGGACAGATATGCTTGCTAGTATCATTACAGTGAGGCAGAACCAGCATGAAACCAAAGTTTGTGCAAATCACTGGTAATGGGAGCGAAATGGGTATGTTGTTGTTGTTGATGATTGCCCTCAAACTCTTGAATATTTTTACTTCACTTTCCCAGCAGAGTCATATTACTAGCTTAGAGCAAGGTGGCGTTTTACGAAAGTATATGTAGGGGAGGTAAATAGTATTTGCATTTAAAACAAATAAGTATAAAAAGTAGAAGGATTCCTTGAGAGTTGTTTATTGAAGGAAGAGCCACAGAGGAGGACAAGACCCGGAGGCTTTATTAAGCTCTGAGCACTTATGTCCTGCTGCTCAGCACTCTCTGTATTTGGTCCCCACAAAGAGAGATAGCGGAGAGCGTAATGTGTCAGTCACGTGGATAACACCGGGCCTTACACCCGGTCCCTTCCTCTCCCCACTTTGACACACACCGCCTGTCACGCGTCCTCACGTGTGTGTGCGCGCCGCTTTGTTTAAAAACGCTCCGCACCACCAGATGTGGCACCGCGTAGAACCACAAAGTACCCGTCACTCATCTGGCGGTAAGAACACATGGATGAATCTACCTGTGCATCCTTAAACATCTTCTTCAAGCCCTTCTGCATCTGCTTGAGTTTACGAGACTGGACGCCACTGTAGGCCAGCAGCATACCGCCAAACTGCCTCTCGCTGATTCTGCCGCTCACGGGATCATTCCTCTCGAACTGTAGTGGGAGAGAGGGAGAGAGAGAGAGAGAGAGAGAGAGGATGAAGACCGAGAGAGAGAGAGAGAGAGAGAGAGAGAGAGAGAGGATGAAGACCGAGAGCTGGGCAGAGCGACGAACCGGTCAATGGGAGGAGGGCGGCAGGGTGAGATGGGAAACGGTGAATACTAGTGTCAGGCTGACAGGCTTACACTAAATATGCATGCGGGTGCTTTTATTCCGATTTTATATTGTCCCACTTGAGTGTGTCTTAACAGCAGTGGGGTCACGGCTGTGTCCGGATTTTTGATTTATTTCCGAGCTGAACACGCCAACCGCTCAAAATGTTAATTTGTTGTGCTTTAGTCAGCTCATGGCTGAGCTGAAATGAGCGGGGAGCAAAGATTGCAGAGGTGAACTGACCATTCGGGCACCTGCAGGGGATCTACATGTAGTGAGGTGAACTCACATCAAGTTAGGTGATGCTTAGGCTTGATGGAAACAGCTAATTTGAACTTTATATTGAACTAATTTGAAGTTTATATTTATGCATACACAATTGCTATGAAAGTTCTTTTTTATTTCGGCTTCATTGGGAATTCAAAAAGCAGCTGGTGAAATATGGCCCTGGGTGAGCTGCAGGGTGAGCTGTGAATTGGATTGTTATACCCATGTTGGTGTCATTTTTATCTGTGGTGATTTCCCCATCAGAGCCCTGTGGCACCATCAAGCCCTGACAGATAGCGCTTTCTTTACGTCAGATGTTCCAGTCCTATTCTTGGAACATCAGATGGAGGCACCCATTAGGCTTCAGTGAACAGTTATGCACCGCCCACGCTAATTAAATAGATTAGAATAACCGTATGCTCAACAACCCGGATCGCTTGCTGTAGCTGCAGAGGCAGCGGAGGGGTCTGGTGTCACCCTGAGGAGACAGAATAGGGCTTCTATGAACAGATGTCTCAGCGTTGAGAGTGACCGACGCACTGCTTCGTCATCCTCCACCACGGTTCTCCTGCTTCTTCTCTAATCGGACGCACTTTAGGGGCTTTAATTTGTACTTTTACCGCTGGACTAAATGTAAGTGAATTGCCGTGTGCGGTCAATTATCAGCAGTGGAGAGAAACGTTTAAGATACCGGTCACATATATTTGTTATACTTGTCAGCAACGGTACAGGAAAGCAGTTGAACATTCTACATATATTCCTCGTTTCCTCCACTCGTTGCCTTTCCTCTTTCTATACCTCTAGTTTCAGCACATCATGCTGCAGTTTCCTCTGGAACTCCAGAAAGTTGCCGATGGTGAGTTTTCCCTTCAAGTCTTCTCCAAAAAAGTATGTGGTGAGAGCAGAGCTGCAGCCGGCCGTCTTCAGGGTGTTTCCTGTGGTAGAGCGGTCGCGGTGTCGCATGCCCATACTGGTCTGGGAACGTATGATGCTCTGGACCTAAGGATTGAGGGGGGTCCCATGTCAACCAGGACCATCCGGCTTCTGACTATATCCTTATATTATTCCATTAACAATGTCATGGAAATTGTAAAAATGATGAAGTAGCAGCAAATCACACGGTTGCATCAAATTAAAAAGCAAATTAAATCATATTGCATAAATGGTCTTGAATAATGAGTTTTACGGTAAAAAACCTGCATACAATACTGTTCATGCAGAACTAGACCTCATAAACCTCCTGGTGAGATGATCTTATCATTTCCCTCTGAGAAAATGTCACAGTCCTTTAGTGGCTGTCAATGTGACTTGCCGGTTACTGTAATGCAATCACTTGCTACTAGATTCAGCATCGACCAACCGTGTGGGACGGCTGATTTAACCTTACGCCTCCTTCAATTTGCTGACCGTGTGTGTGTGTGTGTTTGTTTCGCAACTTACCTGTTCAAACTCCTCAAGATCAACCTCTCCATCGCCGTTAAGATCAAACATCTTGAAAGCAATCTCAAAGTTCCTTTGGGGAGCTGAACAGCACGGGACACACAAACACAAAAAAAGACATTCTGAAATCGATACAGCGCATTATAAAAGTGGCCCGTAGCACTGCATCCACAAAGCTTCCACCCTACACCACCCTACACCACCCTCCTGTCCCTCCACCCCACCGGTGCTCACCCAGAGCTACCATTAGAGACTGCACAATGACAGCTAATCTTGAAAACAAAATTCGCATTCATGATAATACATTTCCCTGTCTTTTTCCCCCATTTTTTCAAACATGGGTAAACCCTCTGCAAATAGTATTTACTGCACTAAACAGCCACGTCACTTTAATGACCATGCGGCCACAGAAAGTGAAATTCGTTGTCAGTGCAGCGGGATAATAAGGAGTTCACAGCGTTGGCACCCGGAGTCCGATGATGACAGAACAAAGATTGGGTCTTGGTAATTTAAGAGTTATAGCCACCTGCTCTAAATATAAAGTGGGTTGGGATGAGCTATGAGTTATGATTTAACGCTATTTCAACTGCATTGCATTGAAGTAGGTAATATATTAACATTTTCTTCCTCACAATACAACAAGCAAAAATGAATTGTGGCTTTCTGTAGAATTCTTGATGTGATTGAAATGCACATCTACACATGAGCTGTGTGGAGCTATATATTAAATTATTATATGTAATCAAAATCCTATATTTTGAGAAAAGTTGTTGTTTTAACATTTACAGCTGTCAATGCCCATGTTTCATGTGTGTAGGCACTTCCCTTCGGCAATTATATTTAAGCCTACATGATGCCAAGATAATAACTCTTTAATAACCAATAACCATCTGATCCATTGCAGATATACACAGTGCTGAGAGCTGTATGTGAACAAGGGATATAATTCCTACACTGTTCATCTGATTTAACACAGCGCCAACGCAATGACATTTACATTATACAACCATTAAAATAATTTATTTGGTCAATTATTTTCAATGCACCACTTCTGACTGTTTTATTCAATGAAGAGCAAACATCTCTTTCAAGGGATGCATTAAAGATTAATTTAGTCTTATTTTACACAACGACTGACACAAGCAAAATCCTCCATCGCACTATTTTTGTGGCCGTGCTAAATGGATTGAGACCAACCATACAGCGCTGCCATGTCTGCTTCAAAGCGACTTGTCCTTGATAAGTCCTTCAGAGACTTTCTTCCTATGAACAGATTATATTAAATGGTCAAGCTAAGCTGGGGATAGGACTTCACTTGGCATTGGAAAGTAAGGGGCGTACTTATTATGAATCATGATACGCGTAGAGGAAATCCAGCGTTCTTATTGGTTGAGAGGGAGTCATGGGGGGTACATATTGAGCGATAATGTACAGTTGCTGTTCACTTTGACCCAAGCGTTCCACATCACTGCGCACAAGGTAACAGGTTAGATTTTTTCGTGACCGTTAGTTGACATTTAAGGTTTTAGCTCGTGGCCGATTGCCGAAAAAAGACCGGAAACACCACAAATGATCGGTTTCAGGCAATGTGAGCTTTCGCAACTGGACAATTAAGGTGGACGTCATGAGCGATGTGAATGAATGACATGGTGCGAGATCTTGCAAGGCGACCCAATGCTGTTTACATGCACCTACGGGGACGTTTGGTGGCTACAACTATTTTGTGCTGAAAGGCGGCCGTTTACTTACTAATTATCATTTCGCCGGTAACCGTATTATAAAAGCAATAAGGTGCAAGAGGCAGTACTTTATCTTCAATAATCTAACAGTTCGAGGGTTTCCTAACAACGCCCCCGAACTGTTACTATTATTAAACTTGATAGAACTGGAGATCCTACTGAACCGACGCACAGCTCCATAACCTAGACAATAATGTCATATTAGAAGATATTGCTGCGTATCAATTTCGGTCTTAAACTGGTGCAGTAAACATTTTTTTAAAAAGCCCAGAGCAGAGAAGTAAACAGATCTTGGATTTGATTTGTGTGTACGATTTGAAGGATGTGGGATTGAATGGGATGGGTGATATACATCAGAGCCATTAGATCCCAGTCAACAATGTACTTACTGGACAGCACAGTGGTGAGGAAGATGTAGTCAGAGAAGGAGATAAGGCCACATTCTCCCAGCGTGTAAAATATGCTGTCCTCATCTGCAAACTTCTCCCTTTCTTGGGCGATTTTCTGCTCATTCAGGTCACAAAAAAAGGGATATGAAAGAAAAAAGAAAGATACGATTTTGAATCGAGCACAAGCCTTACAGATTTTACAGTTGTCCCAGGTGCGTCTTCGTGTGTGTGCAAGCAAATGTGTGTGTCAGAGCGAAGCTCAAAGAATGTCTAGTTTCAAAACAAGGAATTGTGCACACCTACAATGCTTCCACACACACGTTAGCAATATTCCTGGTACAGAAGGATGCTTATAGATCCACGGTTCTTCCACCTTTACAGTCATGCAAATGCTGCATACACATGAAGACGTACAGGCAAGTGAGGGTTGGAGTCACAAGCAATTAGTTTGTGGTCGGTTCTAAACACTTTACCCATCAGGGGCTGTACTCAGTGTGAACTTGACATAGAAGGGAGGAAAAACATCACAAGAGACTGCAGCACAAACACACACTATTAAGTAACCATGTAGACGACACACCCTAAACGTATTAGTCATTAGAGATAGTGACTTAGTGAGATAGTGTGATAGTGAGCCCGTCCGGTCTCACTCACTCACTCACACACACACGCACGTTTTTCTGTCAGCATGTGTATATTCACAGCATTGCATGAAAGAGACTTAATCACATGCACACTACACACTGAGTAATAGAGACTTGGAAAGACAGTGTCCACGGAACAGAGTGGACAGACGGATAGAGCATGCCTGGACGGGGGGGGTGGGGAGGTGGGGGGGCTCTGAGCCCATGTGGAGTTACCTCCGTCTGTAAGAGGTCCAATTCAGAGGAGGAAGGACGAGAAACAACTGTTAGAGAACAGCGTGGCCTCTGCTGTCTTTAGCAGGGCCTTGAACGACAAAAACATTGGGCATTCACAGTGAACACACACACACGCACACACGCAATCTTGCTCAAAACAAGATAATTGGGGCCCCCCCACAAATTGCATTATGTCCCACTGACTGCAGCTCCTACTAGCTGTTATAAATACCATCTTTAGTCAGTATCTGTATTATCAATGGAGCTGTATGCCGAGTGCAAATTACTCATAAAAAGAGACACGATCTTAACATTTATTAAGATAACTAAATAACTGCTACACACAATTGGTTCAAGCATTTAAATATATCCCAATTGGTGTCTTGACACAAATAAAGAAAAGTGGTTTCTAATTCCTCAATTATTGTTGCTGTTGTCTAATGTACGTGTACAGTATGAAGGGAGTGAGGGAGTGAGGGCGGCGGGGGAGTAAAGGGAGAGAGAAACAAGTTATTTTTGGAGCAGTGCTACAGAAAGAAACAACGGAAACGGTTTTCTTTGTGACAAACATCCCGGTGGGTGCAGGTGGAAGAAGATTCCTAGAAAGGGACAGTTCTGAATACGTGACAAAGTAAAAGAGAGAGTGAGTAACAGAGGTTGGTATTGGCCCCCCGGGTCTGGAACAGTGACCTACAGAGACAGCTGTCCGGTCCAACAACCAGCAACTACCACAAAATACACAATTGTGACAGCTAAAGGCAAATGAGAGACATGAATCCACTGGGCATCCCTAGAACTATCAGAACAAAAAAGGCACACGGCACACTTTTATGTTTTCAGTGTCCAGACTCAAGGACAGAAACCCTGCAGGCAGCCAAAATGGCTTTTAACGAAATAGCCGTGGAATATAATTGGCCCGAGAGGAGCCAGATAGCATGCGATGCCTCCTGTGTTCCTGTCAGAAGAGAACACGCTTTTGGGATCCACAGACTTCCCTGCTGAGCTCACAGTGGAGCTTCCGCCATCTCGCTCTCTCACATGCACGACTTGCCATCATACTGTCAATCTCTCCCACAGTTGTGTGATGTAACACTGCATCCTCTCGGCAGTGTGTGTGTGTGTGTGTGTGTGTGTGTAAAGCTGTTTTGGGGGTTTCACCTTAGATTTTAGGGCCAACAACTTGATGGGTAGAAAAATGAATGTATAATTCATATAACTGGTAAAACACGTTCCACCTACAAGAGATCCCCATTAGGTTACTTGATTCTGAATCTCAGTCATCAGTTTGGTCTTTCATCAGTTTTGATTCATCCACCCATGAGGACGTTGTGCCTTTCAAGCACTCGGCTGCAATCACTTAAAAAAGGGATCTCAACTTCAGTAGGGTCCGTATTTAACACCCATCTCAGATTTTCCCCCAAAGCACCGATCTTCAAATGACTGTAAACCTAATTGCTGCAGCACTCAAGTTAATTAGCCGCTCACGCCTCGTCTGTCAGCGCGTGCGTGTCCGTTGATCGACGTCGACTTCGTAGCCATCAGTGTACGTGAGCGTGACTCTACATCTGTGCCTTGAGCCCGCTCGCGCGTGACTGCCGAGTTACGGCCAAGTTCACAGCCGGCGTGCATATGATGGATGGAGCAGCCCGATAGCTGCCCTGGCCAGAATTAAACTAACCCTAAACTTAAGAGACCAACAAATGAGCCCCGCGCAAGACCAGCGCAGCCGGAGGTGTGCAGGCGAAGGGGCGTTCTCTCCTTCTCGTTTCACATGACTGCGCGAGAAACACTTTATCAGCACACCTTTCGGGAAGGGACACAGTTGAAAACTGCATCAAAAGCTCTTTACACATTGTAAAGTGTCATTGTTAAATCCAACAGAAGAATTATATGCTCCTTCATTTGTACGGACTAACCCAGCTACTTGAGTTCAGACATTCTTCAACAAACGATCTAACCCTTCAACCGGCGAGCTTTCCTCTCATTCTAAACCAATATGAAGGTTGAACTTAAAGTGAAGATGAAAACGCAAATGATACATGTCAAAGTGTGTATCATAAACCTTAATTAATTTGATTTTAACATCGTCAATTCAACGACCAGACAGCGATGGCTTCGGTTATACCACAGCTGCGCTATCGAAGGGGAAACCTCTCCGAGCACCACAACGCAGATAAGAAAGCCCGGGTGTAGATTGAATGCTGTCAACGAAGAAGCTCAAGCTCTGAAACGACGAGAGCTGCCCTCACTCTTTGTCTATGCGTCTGCTGCTGACCTCCTGTCTTTTGAACAGGTGAACCTCGCTAGAACCAGTACGGCACTGGAGCCGTACACCAGCAGGTACACACACACACGCACACACACACGACAAGCGCATTAAAACCAATACCTTTTCTGCTTTGTGTGTCTGTCACTTTGACAGGTTCAATGCAAGAAGAGTTTCGGGAGAAACGTTATTACTATTACCAACCTCTATTACTATAAATGAGGAGAGCAGAACGAGAAAGACAAGGTGTGTGTGTGTGTGTGTGTAAAAGCTTTTATAGGGATCAACAAAGAAAGCCTGTGAGAATAAAATTCAGGGTTAAGAGATGGAGAAAGAGTCCAGACAGCGGCTCCCGGGAGCTTCCTGTGAAATCAGAAAGAGTGAACATGACAGTCGGGGGGGGGTGGGGGGGGTGAGAAGAGGCTCGTTTTCATAACAGGTAGCAGCCGCCCCCCCCCCCCCCCCCCCCCACGCCACCCGAGTGGCAGGTGTGCGCTCGCGCTCGCAGCTGTTGGCGCGGCTGATGCGGAGGCTTCAGAGGGCCACGGAGGGAACACTTTGCACACGTTTCAGAGCGCCTGCCTTCGGGGACTCTTAAACCATGCTCTACAGAAATCATGCAGCACTGACATCCGGACAATCCCGTGGATGGATTTGCGAGGGGCCACCAAGCACATCAATGCAGCCTCGACGTTTAGCTAACGGACCAATTTCCTGGATCCAAAACAACCTTGCAAGGCCACCATGCGTAGAGTCGGGGCGCCGCCACCACCAGCTACTTTCTCTGTGAGGCACAGGCAACAGAGCGGTGCATGCTGGAGAGAAAAGGCCAGAGTGCCAAAGCATGTGAAAAGCTGGCGCTGGTACTTCTTTAAAAAAAAAATTTAAAAAAGGAATGAAGGAGCGTTTATAAAAGCAGGACAGAGGGAGCGCAGGGGAACAGCTGCGTTAGGATTTGACGTAGACCAATACAAGTTCCAAATGAATGACTCATTTTAGCCGGCCTTCACATCTCAGCTTCGCAAGACTCGATGTCCCCCTCGGACTTTGGATGGAAATGTACGTGAACCGAACTTTTCTGCGGCTGGGGTGTGAATTATGCAGCAGCGCTGCAGTGTTTAATAATCCCTGTAGAGGCAACGTATTAAGTCCTCACTTTCAATAATTCAGAGGGGAAGGCACGGCACACAGCTGCCTGCGACAGGCGGTACAAAGGGCGCCGTCCACGACAATAAGGAGCGTGAGCTTGCACACAAGGGGTGTGTGCGCTTCAGTTTGTGACACTCCCCGCCATTACAGGTGCATAGGTTGTAACCTGCCCTTTGGCTTATCTTCGCTTCATCCTGACTGACAGAGGAATTCAGACCTGCTCAAAAGGACAAACAATTTTGTAGATGAAGCTTATCGGTCGGGGCCCATTTATCAATGCGTAGCGATATAAATGTGTGATTCAGCAGCATTTGAATAACAAAAAAAGGTTTCTTCAGCGCACTCTGGTGAAACGTTTTGCAGCATCGAGTAGTAGCAAGTAAATACTCAAATGAACTCGTACACATTTATGTACGGGATACAAGCGGCTCAGGAGTCCTGCGATGGAAAATGAACACGCGGGGCGTAGATGGCTTTCCTCACACCCATTTGTTATTTTCCATACACGGTTATCTGAGGTGCATCATTGCCCAACTCCGGCAATAAAGCAAGCTGTGCTCATTCAGCAACCATCAGACCTCTTTATTTAAAAGTCATCAACATAAGTAATGTGAGGCTATCTGCGGTTTAATGATATTTTTCCGCTGTCGTTAAGAATGCTGATCAGAGACAACGCTTTGCAATTCCATGATATAATCAGCCTTATTGTTTGAGGAAATACAGTGTGTGGTGCCCCATTTAACACCTACAGCACGCAGAGAAAAGTTTGAGTTTGATTCACATGTAGCTTAACTGAGGCATAGACCCACACCTGCTGAAGCTGAGATGTGGGAATCGCAGGAAAACTCCCCTTTCAGCTGTTCCCCTGGACTAAAGGGCACGGAAAAGCTGTGCCCTCCATACAACTCCACAGGAGTGGAAAATACAATAAGAGAAAACCAGTCAGAGACAGAAGAGGAGGGAGGAGGTAGAGAATACACAAGTGCAGTTTTTCATTCCGGTGCACACATGCTGCTCGGCACACACCCCATACCTGCCAGAAGTCCTGCAGAGAGGGAGGGGGCATAACGGGAGGGAGATGAGGAGAGAGGGAGGGGGGACAGAAGAGGAGGGACGGGTGAAGAATCAATAGATGGAATGATTGGGGGTGGGGGGGGCGGGGGGGGGGGCAGCGACAAAGGTAGGGATTTTGGGAGGATGATGGTTATTCGCGAGGAGGGGAAGAGAGAGAGAGAGAGAGAGAGAAGATGGAGGGATTACTCGTTATGCGAATGAGGGGGATGGCTGGGGAATAATCAGCAGTTAACAATGGCAATGACAGGTTACATCAACATAGGATTTGCGGGCCACACGATTAGGGGCGCGGAACACAACACGCAGAGGGAGGGAAAAAAAACAACTGGTCGAGCAAACAATGAGATTTCACAATTTCTCAAATAACGGTTTTCATAGACAAGTAAATAAGAAATAAAACAAACACAGTGAGTCAGTCTGAACAATGATTGCGAAACAACTCTATAGGGAATGTTATATTTACACACAGATTGGACCTGGACCTTTTAAAACAGGTCAAACTGTATGTATGGGACAAATCTCACAGTTGGCCTGGATATTGTCAGATACAGCGAGGGGGAGTAAGACTTTTAAAAGAGCTCTCATGTTACAATATCGCACACCTCGCCACGATTGACCCCCAGATGAAATGTTCCCCTCGTACTTCACCACACCCACCTTCAACTTCATGATTTACACACTACATAGAACAGGCGCCACATACTTGCCATGGCCATTTACACTTGATTGAATTCTATGCAGGCTTAGGTTTAATGTGAACTACATTTCATGGCGGGAAATTGTAATAGTTTATTCCGACGGCGACTAGCTAGGGGGCAACTTCAAGCAAACGAGGAGGAGTTATGTTTCTCTGGTTGGGCAGAGCGAGGGAGCGAGGGAGGGAGGGAGGGAGGGAGGGAGGGGGGGGGGGGGGGGTGGAGCAGTTGGGTGCCATTTGATTTTCCATGCAAATAGGCTGGAGGTGGCTGGAGGGAAAACATTCACAAAAGAAGAAAAGGACCGTGTTGATTTTTTGGATGTCACTGAATTACACATTTACAAGCGCAAGCTCTTTGAGTCAATCTGCTTTTAAAATATGGCTGTATCAAAGTTAGGAGGACTTCTAAACCCAAAGCTTAGCAGAATCACCGCAGAGGTTTAGAAGTAGGACGCGAGAAGCAAAAAGGGGGTTTGACAAAGAGTTCTGTCTTTGACCTTACTGACTCTTCTTTTTCAAGTGAGTCTGTGAGGTTAGCCCGTCTAAAGTTCATTCGTTGTTATTGTCTTTAAAATGGGTCATTATCCACTGGACAGACCCACTTTGTACACGTCCCTCTTAATGATTAAGTGTGGCGCTGATGCATTAAAAAGCCAGGTTTAACCAACTGAAGGCAGATAAGATGCAGGTGTAGACTCAACACAACATACGTCATCATTACCGTGCCCTTTAATTCCCTTTCTGAACTTTAAACATTATCTGCTCGAGTGACAATTAATGTGACTGGAAAATAACATGAAATGACGGTTGAGAAAGGAGGGAGGAAGGCAAGAGCTAAAAACATGCAAAAAGAAAGACATTGTATAAAGGATATGGTCTGTGATAATAAAAAAATCCAATTTAAATCCAGTTGAGAGAAGAGACAACATTTCCAAAACAGATGTTTGTCTTAAAACCTGTACCTGCAGAGGACGTATCTCAGCCTGTGTGCAAAGTCTCAACAGAAATGCATCCATCAAACAACAAAGTGGACCCAGAAAGGCTGGCTTACATTTTTATAGCCACATTTTTTATCAAGTGGTACAATCTGGATTTTTTAACGTTGCTCCACGAACTCTTAGCCTATGTCATCTTTTAGGCTTATGAGGCCCCTGATGGTGGTAGTTTATTTCTATGACGTTGAGTAAAAAACACTGTTTGTATAAAGGTTTCTTTAAATTCTCTTCAGCCTGAGTAGTTGTTTGACTCATATTACATTTCAGATATTATTATTTTACTGATTTAATTCAGGTTCAAATAATCAAGTTCATATACTGCATTATATATAGACAGAATCATAACAACCTGAGCTGATCAATAGTTCAGTTTTCAGATATTATACATTTCCCAAGTACTGCACTGAATGAAGACCGTACTTAAAAAAAAATCACTTATAATTCCTTCTCTTAATGCATATTTAAAATCCAAGCGGTGAACCTATAAAACCCTCAGTGTAACCTGAGGATTATAAAGCAGAATTATGCAGCGGTGGCTTGAATTTAGGATTCAACAGAGGGACACCTCTGAGAAAACATTTAAAAAGATGCTTAGTGAAAAAAGGATTTATCAACTTACATTTTCACTGAATATTGAGCTTTTACTTAGAACCAGTTTTTACTGAAAACGTCCAAAAGAAAAAAAAAATTCTATTCTCCTTCGTGGTATTGGGTGGGTGGCAGAGAAAAATATCTAAAGATTTGGCTTAAGTCAGAAAAAAAATCAATTTTATTTCCTGTATTTTGCATTAATTGATTTCCAAAACAATTATTGACCAGTAATTCACATTGATTTAACAGTGTATTTATGAAATCCGCCAGGTTACTAGAAACCGAATAAATGAACATGGCATACAATGTTTTTGAGACTCAAATCTCTGCCTCTGATCCCTGCTAAGATGACGCACTGCCCACTTCTTACCTTTCCATCATATCGCTTCACAATGAACTGATCCAGGCCTAGACCTGGAATTTAAAAAAGACAAAACAAAATGTCAACAGATGTTCAGATTAGACAAATCAGCATAAGCATCAGGATTTATGCCTAGCATTAAGCAGAGCAAATGTATTTACATGGTGTCATTACTAAACATTTTGTGTCACTGACATCTGCTGAAGATTAATAATAGTCATTAACACACCATTTCCATTCTGCTAATTCTTTCAAATAAATAATCATTGCCTTCAGCTTTGACTCTTGACTCTTGAACAAATTCCCTATCAGCATACCAAGAGAAACACTCCTTTCATCTACATATTATTAATATACATGAACGCTCCAACGGAGTATCTCAAAGTGTTTAAGTTCATTGCTTACTCTATGAATAACGACTTCAATGAAACACACATTAGGATCAGGTGATACATGAGTGCTCTTCAATGTCCACTGGTTCGTGTCATATCTTTCTATGCACAAGACAGCATGACATTGTATTAGCAATCCTTGCGATAATTATTTGAAATGTTATTTTCTCTTGATCGAGTACACAAGGTGTGAATTTTAAGTGGAAAAAGACAAATATTCCTTTAATTTAAACTTTGAGGTGACACACAATTTCTAGGCTACAGCTCTAATCTATCAAATAAAGACAAATATTATACAAAATATTCAAGGAGTCACAAAGGCTCTTATCATGGCGAGATGCTACTATCATAGTGACCTGCTGATACAAGTCTCATCAAATCAGATTTACTCGGAGCGCGCTGGCTGAGGCATAATCTCGTTAAACCGAACTTCGCTTCATCAGCATTAAAGAAAACCTCATCACCTTAGACCTCTGATAATAGCTTATCACCTTTCCATGCCGAGCCAATAATCCTTTAACGCCAGGTCAGTTCAACACGATCAATACATGTATCAACGGAGGGGCTGGATCACTGAGCTTAGGGACACATTTCTAGAACAAATACCTGGCAAACAATGTCCGTCAAATGCACTGCCTTGTTTCGCTCAAACTTAGCGTACCTCACTATAGCACTAAGTATTTTTCTAAGGGAGGCTGGTAAAAGCTGGTCTTATAGGTCACACAGGCTATATATTTATGTACGATCCTGGCCATGCAGCACTTCTATCTTCTAAGTAGTGTTTGTTTTTTAATCAGGTCCATGGTTTATTCATCATCTAAGGGCCAGAAAATCTGCAGAGCTTTAAAAACAACAAAAGCAGACTAATCAGCAACTGAGACTTGATCATTAGGTTTTTTTAATTGAACGGGGGGGGAGAGAACGTCTGTGCGTTAACTTTACATGAAGTGGCTGCGTTTGAAGTGAACTTCAGCTTCTTATTGGCTCTCCATCTGCTGCCTTCTCTTATCCAACAGAGCTCGGCTCATCATTTCTTAAGTTGCAGCCTGGAAAGCAGGATGAATAAAGGAAGAGCTGGGAAAAGTCGTAAAGTGGGGAGGCAAGTCAACTGGGTGCCAGAATGGAAGGAAAATGGGGTCCAAGCAGGAAAAAGTCCTGATCATTGGTTAACATAGGAAGTGCTGAGGTGAACAGGAATGGCAGCGTGGACGTGACTGGCGTGGCTCAGTCCGTATTAAGTGTTAACCAGTTACCGCAGATTAATGTGGGCCTCATGCTCTACATTTACCAGAAGTAGGAAGGCGAACACACTCCTGCGTCATGTAGATCTAAATTAATTTAAGTGTTGAATAATCCGGAGAAGGACGCTCAAAAAACGGGAGCGGTGCAGAAATATATAATCTATGCCAATTTAAGCTCCTCGCCCTCCCAACGCTCCCGTGGCTTTGGATCAAACAGCTCTCTCCGGCTCCATGCGTGACGGCTGAGATCTGCTCTGGTTGGAGCCTGTTAATTGATACACCAACTGCTGTGTCGCAAGTGACTGTGGGGAGGGAGGGGGATGAGGGGGGGACTGACAACAGCCCTGTCAGTCCCCCCCCCACTCTCCAGTCCCTTTCATATTTAGGGACACAGTCAGTGGGATAATTATACCACAAAGAGTCATTAGTCTGTACCAAGTGTGTGCTAAGTGCCCCTGCTGTGGGATGGATGGAGGGGGGAAGGAGGGTAATGTTAAACCAGTAGAGTAAAATCATCTCCGCGCGGTTGCTTGAGTATTTATTTAGGGTCGAGAACCTGGATGAGAGGCAGAACCAGTCAGGAAATAGACTTTACAGAACCAGATTACAAGTGATGAAAAGGAAAAATCCATAGAAATAGTGTGAAGTTGAGGGAAGAAAGAGGAGACTCACTCTCAGGCTGCTTCTCGTTTGGCGTGATGGAGCGTATGAAGTCCTGCGGCGTCATGTAAACCTCAGCATCTCCGTGCTCGCCAATGACCTTCAGCGTTGCAAAGTAGCGGAAGATCTTGTCGGGGGTCGAGTACGCTCTGATCCTGTTCTCGTACTCCATCACCTGCCAACCAGACAGGAGCCACAATTAACGACAATAGATTTTATCCACTGGGCCCTCGAACACAGCTCAGCCTCCAATCCAACACTCCAACCCTAGGGTCGCTCATCGAGTCTGTAGCGATGACTGCATGCTTCTGTGTTGGTTCCCGCTATTCAAAGTTATTGGTCTACAGAGAAATCTTAGAAAGCCTTGCCCTTGCCGCCCCCCCACACAACCTTCAGTGTGTGGGTGAGAGCTAACAGGCCGGTCATGACACAGTGTCATCTCTCTGGATCTCATGCCTTCAGATTTCAGAGTTCTGATCTCTGCTTCACCCACATTAAATTTGAGTTATTTAAAGAAAACGTATGGAAGGAACAAAATCTCATAAATGTTCTAAATATACTAGAAGGTAGTTTTTAGCACAAATACTGTACAGCTCCAACAACATTCAACCACAGAGGGCGTTCTCAGTCTGAAGCACATGCTCTGGCATTTGCAGATATAAAGAGCACAGTCTGCTCTTTATTAAACTTTGACTGTTTATTTGACAGAGTGAGTGTGCTGGCACAAACAACCCGTCTTTACAAACACACCAGTGAATCCTGGGAAGCTGTGATTTACTAGAGCGGTTTGCTCCCCAAAATTGAATATGCTTTCAGCGGACTGAGGCTTCCACTGAGGCATAGAGGCATTGCATCCTATCGCCTATCTCTTTCCTTCTCTTTTCTCTACTCCTCAAAAGACACAGCAGCAAACTGTATTTATTCCGCATCGTTATAAAGAGGCTTTATTCTTCTTTGGTTTGTCACCTGCAGCCTGATTAGCAGCAGTAAAATGTTTTCCAGGTGGTGCATTTCTATTTACAACAGCAATGCATGCCGATTAACTTTTCCCGTCAGAAATATAGAGCAGCGTTTGCACACTGGACATTGATTGGTGGGGCTTTCAAAACACCAGCAGAGGTGAATCAAATACTGGACTTGCTGAATGTTGATCATTTATTGATTACCTTGCGGTCACGGAATCCAGAGCGTGGCTTCTTTTTCTTCCCCTCGCCGCCGTCATTTCCTTCTTCGTCTCCGCTGCTGGCCTCCACGGATTTCTCAGACTCCGTCTCAGAGGCTGCGTCCCTCACGAAATCTGTCCCCTCTCCACCTGGTTGCTCGGAGTGTTGAACGGAAGACCCTGCCTCTGCGTATGCTCTGGTTTGAATTAAAGAAGAAAAAAACATTAGAAACAAGTCAACGCCTTCGGGACATTTCTTCTTTCACACTGACAAAGTTTATGTATTGCCGTTTTTCCAATGATTCCAAGTGGAATTCAGGAAGTGTGCAATGACTGTTTTACGGCCAAGTGTGTACTATATCTACGACGCTCGACAGTTCAAACAGGGAAAGGCGGTGATGAGTAAGCGGTCCGCGCTGCGTTTGGTCTGCAGAGGCAAAATCCCACGTGACCATTTTTCTGACTAAATTGGATATTGGAATAATAATAATAATAATAACGATGAATTACAGAGTCTGTCAGGGGGAGGCTGAATAATTCAGTTTAACGAGACATGAGGAGAATGAAGCCCGGGGGCGAAGGCCTGGAACAGTCTCATCCCATCAGACAGAAAAGCCCTGAGGCTCCATCCATCACTGCGCCTCGCGCAGCAAAGTCATTCTGTCACACAGCGCTCTCAAGGCAACACTCTCTGCCATCTTTTGCCTTAACTAAACACCAGCCTCCTTTGTAATGGCTATCCATTACAAAAATTGCAATATGACTTCGGGTGGTGGCTTGGCAACGAGAATGCAGGTATGCGGCTGCATTGGTTTGTTTCCCGTACAGTTGTGTGATGCTGGGGAATTGGTCTGGTCGTGTGCTCAAAAGATAAACCGCCATTGAATACCGCAGCAAAAACAGATTCTAGTTCACTCAATGTTCATGGAGGACTGCTCGTGTAATTGTTTGAATATAGCGGATGGACTCAAGAAATGAAATGGTGAGCAGGTTTGTATGATAATTTGATAAGCGGCAAGCCAGAGGAAATAAAGGACAAACTGCCGCTAGAGCACAGATATTTTTTTTCTCCATTTGAATCAAAATAGCAGAAATCCATCACCATTTCCTCAGTGCAACAAAGAGGCACACGGGTCTACTGCTGAGCCCAGACTTACCGTTTCCAGAGCAGCCCAGTGGCAGCAGACACGCCCGTTACCCCGGCCAGCGCTGCGAGCATCAGCCTCCTGCGGCCGGAGCCTTGAACTGCTCCGCTGTGGTAGCGCCGGGACAACTGCGCCAGCCCCAGGGACACCGCGGACAACGCCCGCAAGCGCAACATTCTGCGGGGAAAGGCTTCAAATGAATACACATTCGGCGATTTCGGTTCAGAAAACTTACGTAACGAAACATAATAGATGGCAAAGATGTGCAGCGGTCTTTGCAGACATACAAGTGACATAGAAGCGCCGAGAGATGCCTTCCCATCCTTCTGCAGTCATAAGCCATGGAATTCTAAAAAACAATTTGACTAAAGAACAAATGAATACTCAACTCGAGGGGTAGAGCTCAAAGAATAGCAGGGCACTCATGGGATAAGTGGTCACACGGCACTGCAGGCAAAACTGCACTTCAAAATTCAACGCATAAACGTCCTGGAATCCCAACACACCTCAATTAACAAACAACAGAGAGCAAAGAAACTAATTAGCGCCTGTGCGAATCCCGATTGCCGATTTGATTCATGGACGATCTGGGTTAATTTAGAACGATTCAATTTGATTCGATTCAGTGACTTGAAATCGATTGAGTAACTTTACTGGACAGTTCAGGCAAAGTTTCCAAGATCCGTGTTGTTTCTTGTAAGGAAATCAGGTTTAACTTAATAATGGATATTATAAACAACAATTAATGGCAAATGCCGAATGTATTAACCTTTTATTTGAATCAAGTGCCATTTTCAATGTAAACATTACACAATAATTACACAATGTTTGGATCAATTCACAGAACCCCGGATTTTCAACCACATTGTAGGGCCGCATGTCTTTACAGCTAAAATTGGCAATTGTTACTGTGATGAGTTTGGTGCTGGCGAGGCCTGAGGTGTCTGCAGAGCTGGAGTTACCTGCTGCTGCTGCAGCGGTAACGCTGCTAGAGGTGCCTGACTGTCGGCGTTGTTTAATCCCACGGCGCTTTAGTAGATGGCCGTAAAGATTCGTTGTGTTTCTGTGTTTTTTTATTTGGCTTCTACATATTCTACAAACAGCGACTGACTTATTTAGAACACCTCCGTGTTTGCAAAAGCCAAAATATTTCCACACGCTGGATCAATAAGTTGGTTTGTAAATGTCTCGCTCGCAGTCGTCTCCTCCACGCTGTGTTTTGTTGTTGTTCCGAGTTTCGCGCGGCTGCCGCTGCGTACTGATGACGTCACAGACAGGCAGACTGAATCGAGTAACGTTTAACGTGTCTAAAGTGCTAAAAATCAAACAAACAAACACACATCCATACCGTTGTTGTGCTTAAATCCAATGTGCAGTTTCCAAGTATCGATACAATCGATTATGTACCATTTCAATCGATTTGTAATTGATATATGTCGTCCGGAATGCCGATTCAATTGGATCGCAGGAATATAAATCGATCAATCGATTCAGTGGATGAATCGTTACACCCCTACTAATTTTCTACCAAAGTGTTGCTGCATTCATCTATATCATGATTAAAAAAAGCAAAAGGGGGCAATGGAGTGCATCTGAAGCCCGCCTGAGTACCAAGCATGGGACGAGGTCATTGCAGGTCTGGGTCGGTCACGTGTCGACATCCTATTAACTATTCGCATATCGGTGGTCAAACTGATTCAGAAGACATGGCGCGTGCAAAATGGAGAGTTTGGTAGCCCATACATGTTGGGGCCGAGGGGAACAGCAGGTCCGCGTGCGCTCAACGATCGATGAGGTTGGAGACAGATGGCTGGAGACTAATGTGCTTGAAAAAGGGAAATACATTTTCTACTCTAGCTCGAGGTTCCAATGCTCTCATTCTAAGTCTCTTTGGACAAACACGTCCTCCTAATGAGCGTCTCATATAAAGTAATTAAGTGCCAACAACAGAAACTAAATGAAATCATTAATTGAGACAATAATTTCAGAATCATTTCTCAGACGTGATCTTGAGAGAATTCATTGAAGGCGACATTAGAGCCAATCGAAATGCATTTACAGGTTTAAATGTTCACCTGGAACATTTTTTTTAAAACTCAGAATACAAGAGGCAACAGGGACAAAATGAATCAATTGTTTTTCTTGGTCTGTTTGTCTCCAAGCTGCCAGATGAGGACCATCCATTCAGACTAGTATAATTGGTTTCTTCTTGACTCTTTGAAATAAGTCGATGGAGCCTAAAAGGAATTGCTTTCAAAAGTGAAAGATATCCCATAGTAGGGGACCAGTTGGGGGGCTTGGCACGTGTAGAGAAAAAAAGATTCTTTACAGCGATGCTCTTTTTTCTCATTAGCACATTTTGAAGAAGGGGACACTGGGATTTGAGCCATGAAACAGCTACACGTCCTCTACCTCAAGTGTTTTTAGTGAGTAAACGCATTGTAATATGCATTTTGTAACAGCTGGACAGCAGCAATGATTTTGCTATGTTTGTAAAGGCCTTAAGCCTTAAGTTAGGTCTACAGGCTTGACACGTTCACCTTTTCTGCATTTTTCACTGGTTGTCTGGCTGTATACGTTACAATAAAGCCATTTCACAATCCTTATAAGCTCTATAAAATCTAGCACGCTGGGACATGAAAGTGACCTGGGACCCGGTCAACCAATGTCCACCGTGGTCATCAACATTACCCACCTCTGACAGTTCCGAGTTGTCAGGGCCCACCAGAGAAACGTAGGCGTTTATGTTGTGTGAACACTTCACTGCTCAACTTGGATGATTGTTTCCTATAAAAAATAAAAAGGGACCGGAGCGGGTAGTTTCACTCAACACCCTGGAGCTCTAAAAAGGAGGTCTCATTCCCTCGTTTAAAGATGGTGACCCATTTCTTTCAACTTTACAGTCCATCTGTTGCCCGGGGATGTTTTCTGCCTCGAGTGGTAAATAAAAATGGGATTATTTTTAGGAGTACAGGGCACACAGGCAAAGATATGTTTTCATGGCTGCTTTCTACCCTGCACGTCCTGTGATTTTTTTAGGCAGGTCTGTGACCTCCGTGTGACTTATAAAAACCTTTCGCAGTGAAAGTTCAATCATTTGAAGTGAAGAAAAGTACAAAAAGCGAACAGACTCGAGTCAACACTCAAAGGTTGGTCCATTTGAAAGGTTGGTGACTCAGTAGATAGGAAGCCAGTTGTCAATGCCCAACATATCACATCTGGAAGTATGCAGTGCGGGTGAATTAGTCCAAAAAGGTTAAGAGAGATTTATCAAAAAGATTGATAATCCAACAAATCAACTGGGCAACGTATACACGCGCGGTCAGGTAAGGTGAGAAAAGGCAGGTGTTGGCAGCATGAGATTGGTGAGAAAAGGTCTCTGACACCAACATCTACCGGACCTCAAATTCATGCAGACATCAATCAATCCATCTAAATGAGCAGATGGGTTGATTCATAATCACTGAGGTGGAAAATAGATGGAGGTCACCAACACGATGCGTTACGGTCTCAACGTGTCAGAGAAACGCAGTCTGCAAAGTTCCCAAGATTCACGAGGATCTCCAGTGTTTTGTTTTTAGCCGTGAGTTCGACCTCGCAGCCCCCAGCTTGTAGCATCATAACGCTGGCGTTCAGCTTCCCGCCGCTCGGCGACAACGGGGTCCGCTTCCAACACCGGTCCTACTTTTGCATCGTACCGTATCGATGAGGCGACAGTGCGCAGCTTTTGAGTGCGGCAGTCCGCTAACGGTTCCGCGACGCGGCTAGCGCTGGCTAGCAAGCTACGGCTAGCAGCGCACGTTAGCATAGCGCCTGCTGTCAGCCGAGGGGTTGACGCTGCTCCGTCGGCGGGACACAACTTCGCGGACAAGCGGCACGGTTACTCACGCTGGTGATAACGCGAACGGCGGTCGGTGCCGAACGGCGAGGGTATCGTCCTTTTGTCTTCTTGGGCCCGCAGAGACGGAGCGCAGCGCTAACAGCAGTTCCGCGTTTACAATCAACAAACCGTGCGGACAGAAGGGGCGGGGCAACGCGCGCGTGCGTACCCGCTTCAGACGGGCCGCGTCCCACCACTGCTTGGAGCGGTGCCCCATAGACATACATATATAAAGGCCTTTATATATGTCTATGGGGTGCACGCCATCACTGTGTAAATGGCCCAGAATCAGATGTCTTTCAAGCATTTTATGGAGATTCATCAGTCACTGCAGCTAAATTTCAAATTTTACATCTCAAGGCCAACAGCTACCAATTTGAATAAAATGGTCCCCTAAAAGCCCATTGAGCTGGATCACTCTCGAGGCTGTTATTATTGACTAATTGCATAGTATTTTCTTTCATTCTACATATCTTTGTTATACATGGTATGGGGTATATGAATTAAGCTATTATAGAACATTTAGCCATTTGTTTTTGAATGAATAGTCAAATGAACTGGGAGAAAAGGAGTCTCTGCTGTCAGTCATACATGCCTTCAAAGAGCTCCAGTGTAAAATGGTGTCAAGACTAATTGATTTGCCTTTTTGCCATGTGCCAGTTCTAATTGTTACTATTAATCTGTAACTGTAGGTCAAATTTCAGCTGTATGTGAATGTATTAATGAGAGGTTAAATACCAGGATCGCAGGGAGTCTCTACATCTTCTGCTTCAAACCAAAAACACACCTCTGCAGACTATACCTTGAATAAAAAACACAAAACAAATTGTAGCACTTTAATTATACTTATAATGGCTCTTATCTATAGCAAGTTGTCAATCTTGACAAATACTCTATTTGATGAAATTGCACTTTCTTGTTTCTTCTTCTTCTGGGTTTGTATCCTGAAATGCACTTATTGAAAGTCGCTTTGGATAGAAGGATAAGTGACATGTAACGTAATTGTAATAAAGATAGAAATGAGAGAAACGTTCAGTTGCTCATGATGTCTGAAAGAAATTCTTGCAAAACTAAACAGAGCAACAAGTTACCCAAGATTCGACTGGGTTTCATGAACTTTCTTTACTACAAGGTATTGGTAGACACATGTTGTTCCCGGGAGAAGGTGGTTTGCTAAGAATCTTCAGCTACAGTTTCAACATGCTTGGATGAAACTCAAAATAAGGTGCGCTTAATGCAACTCTCCAGGTGTCTTCTTTTCCAAACCCGAACCCCTGCGTTACGCTGCTGTAGCAGATCCTCAAATGATCGTGACATTGTGATGGGTGTGATGCATGAACCAGCCAATCTATATACATTTCAATAAATACAATTATCGCAATATCAAATGGGCATTTTGTCCAAAAGGTCAAGAGGTATCTGCAGTTTCCTGTAAGCTTTTTGGCTACAGTCGCTTCACACACAACCTTTTCAGTAGCGTGTCAGTGAAATTTAGGAAATCATTGATCTCGATTGAACAGCACTATGATATAAAATGTACACATTGCAACTATAGCTCCACTTATCTTATTACAAATTATTGTCTTTACTAATAGTTCTTCACCCACCATATTCTATTGAAGAATTCTAAAACATCCACACCACTTTCCCCTTCTCTCTCTCGCTCTCTCTCTCTCTCTACTCTTCCTCCTTTTTTAATAAGGGAGGCTTAACAGTGCATGCAGCCCTCCAGCGCAGAGTTCATTAATGCAAGCAATTTATCAAAAGGACCACACTGTCGACCATTGACATTTCATATTGAATTATAATAGCATAATGACAATAATAACCTTAGTACTGTACAGGTGTCCATTATGGCACCTGTACAGTAGAGTAGTTCAAATCCGTTCATATCGTTCAACCTCGCTATGTCAGTCATAAATATGCAAGACACGATTTAGTTTCCAAAATTTTCAAAATACATACGTGTTTATATATTGAAACTAATCAGTACCCCGTAAGCCAGTACTCTGGTACACATTCAAAATACTCAGATAGTCAGTCTGAAAAGGTTTGATGATAGCCACTTATGTCTACCAGAGTGTGTTGAAATCTTTCACCACACGCCACATTGACTGAGCCGTGTAAACCTTAAATAAGACCACAGCTTTCTCGTACACAACTGCCCACTCCTCTCGTTCCCATTTCTCTAAATTTGGGTTGGACTGTTTCCTCTGCACTCTTGGTGTCGCATTGCAATGGTTATCCTGACAATAGCATTACATGCCGATTACGTTCATCCTGCTAATCCGGCGGTACAAAGGTGGCACAGGTGATAAGGAGAGCCAGCTCCTCTGCTCAAATGCTTTATTACACAATGACTGTGTTGCTACCCCGGTGACTCTAGTTGAAGAGGGTGTTTCAATCTTGGATGCAACATGGCTGTTACTCCATTAGGGAGTGCCAGCTTTTTGTGTTTCTGTGCACACAAGTCGGCAGCTGAGCTGCTTTGTAGAATTAAAACTACGTTGAAACCTGATCCACTAGCTGCACCTCTAAATTGTTGGTGAAAGACGGCTCGGGTAATGACCTGCCAAACAAAAGCAGGCTCAAGTTTCCGCCGTATTACTGTGTGGAGTCAGCAGTAAAAAACAAAGTCTGTGTTTACATGATGTTATATGTGATTGGGGGTGTGATGAAATAGTTACACCCATCCACGCATTCTTGCTTTGGGCATTGCCTTCTTTGTAGACCCATGGGAGGGGCTATTTCAGGCTGCTAGGAGACATTTCAGGCACACATGCAAGCACACCTCTTCTTGTGCTCGATATATCCACTTCTGACCTTGAGATATTGGTGCAGTTCTGTCTTGCTTATGTTTTTATTTTCTCCCAGTCCGTAGAGAACTGTGAAAAAGGATCGGTCAGCGAATATCATATTTTAATTACATAAATGTAGATTAATGTGGCTTTGTCATGTGCATATTGTATAATTGCATAATTCAAAACAATGCTTTTGAAACTGGAATTTATGAGACACAATTTGAAATGCAAATTGGTGTGAATCCTTCTTGTTTTATTTACTTTAGTATTTAACTATTGGCACCGGTGTTGAAGCATGTTGCGTCACTGTCACTACTGTATATCTTATGCTGAGAAAGTTGTGATTTCATATACATTTTATATAACAACAGTCATGCAGGTGGTACTATGAAGTTTGTTTAATTTGGGGTTATTTCTTTGTTTTCTGGTTTAAAAGTTTTTTTTACTCATGAAAAGAGAATTAAATAGAGTCCAATGGTACTCATTCTTGTTGTAGCTCACATCATGATCCAACCACTCAGGTATTGAGGTCATTATGCGTTATTATACTTTGCATAGCTTCTTTTTATGGAGCAGATTACACCGATTTAACATAGTAAATCATGCAAAACCTCCCATATCTTACATGACTTGATGGAATCTTTTCACCATAGCGCAGCCTCTCTGGCTTTGCACAGGCACATTATCATGTTACAGCTACAGCATTACACTGTAAAGGTTTATGTAAAACAGGGCCTGGTAGTATTTGGCAACACAGAGAGATTGGTTTGGAGAATCAATGCAGCCTCAAGGACATGTCCGTGCCTGTGAATTTGCATTTAAATTGCGTTGGCCACACAGCTCGGTGCGCCGCACCTGAAGAAGTACAGCAGGAAGTGGAGCAATGAGCATTTCACAAGCAAACAGAAGACCAACACAAACAACAAAACGAGCAGATCTCCTTTTCCTTGAGCCATGATATGAAGGCATGTCATCGTATTAATCATACAGTAGAAGTTACTTTAGAGGTTTGCTCTTGTATATCAGCTACTAAAGATTTTCTGTATGCAATGATGTCTGGTTCCTCCCTTTACCTATACAGGTTGGGCAGGCGGTACTCGTTGAAGGGCAAGGGTCAAAGATTAAGGAGCAAATGTTACATTCCACTTTGGGGCGTCTCCTAGACATTCATTGACTTAAAGTACCCATTAGCACTGTTACCTCTGCAGTGGTTGAATGATTGGAGAGAACGCAAAATGCATTATGCTAGACTGATTCCCCTCAGTTTTCTGCCATTCAAACCGAAATAATGGTTGTACATTGCATCCGGAAAGTATGCAGCGCTTCACTTTTTCCACATTTTGTTATGTTACAGCCTTATTCCAAAATGGATTGAATTCATTCTTTTTCCCTCAACATTCTACACACAACAATCCATAAAGAACGAAAACATAACATGTACATACGTATTCACAGCCTTTGCTCAATACTTTGTTGAAGCACCTTTGGCAGCAATTACAGCCTCAAGTCTTCTTGGGTGTGATTCCACAAGCGTGGCACATCTATTTCTGGGCAGTTTCTCCCATTCCTCTTTGCATGACCTCTCAAGTTCCATCAGGTTGGATGGGGAGCGTCGGTGCACAGCCATTTTCAGATCTCTCCAGAGATGTTCAATCGGGTTCAGGTCAGGGCTCTGGCTGAGCCACTCAAGGACATTCACAGAGTTGTGCCGAAGCCACTCCTTTGTTATCTTGGCTGTGTGCTTTGGGTCGTTGTCCTGTTGGAGGATGAACCGTCGCCCCAGTCTGAGGTCCAGAGCGCTTCGGAGCATGTTTTCATCGAGGATGTCTCTGTACATTGCTGCATTCATCTTTCCCTCAATCCTGACCAGTCTCCCAGTTCCTCCCGCTGAAAAACATCCCCACAGCATGATGCTGCCACCACCATGCTTCACTCTAGGGATGGTATTGGCCTGGTGATGAGCAGCGCCTGGTTTCCTCCAGACATGACGCTTGGCATTTAGGCCAAAGAGTTCAATCTTTGCTTCATCAGACCAGAGAATTTTGTTTCTCATGGTCAGAGTCCTCCAGGGGCTTTTTTGCAAATCCCAGGCGGGCTGTCATGTGCTTTTTTACTGAGGAGTGGCTTCCGTCTGGCCACTTCTACCTGTGGCTGTGTGCCTGATTTGTGGAGTGCTGCAGAGATGGTTGTCCTTCTGGAAGGTTCTCCTCTCTTAATAGAACAACACTGGAGCTCTGTCAGAGTGACCATCGGGTTCCTGGTCACCTCCCTGACTAAGGCCCTTCTCCCTCGATCGCTCAGCCTGGCTGGGCGGCCAACTCTAGGAAGAGTCCTAGTGGTTCCAAACTTCTTCCATTTCCGGATGATGGAGACCACTGTGCTCATTGGGACTTTCAATGCTGCAGAAATCTTTCTGTACCCTTCGCCAGATCTGTGCCTTGATACAATTCTGTCTCGGAGGTCTACAGAGAATTCCTTGGACTTCATTGCTTGGTTTATGCTCTGATATGCACTGTCAACTGTGAGACCTTATATAGACAGGTGTGTGCCTTTCTCAATCATGTCCAATCAACTGAATTTAGCACAGGTGGACTCCAATCAAGTTGTAGAAACATCTCAAGGATGATCAGTGGAAACAGGATGCACCTCAGCTAAATTTTGAGTGTCATGGCAAAGGCTGTGAATACTTATGTACATGTTATGTTTTTGTTCTTTATTTTTAACAGATTTGCAAAAATTTGCAAAAAACAGTTTTCACTTAAAATCACAACAAAATGTGGAAAAAGTGAAGCGCTGTGAATACTTTCCGGATGCACTGTGCATCAGGAAGTAACCTGTGTCGTTTAAAAGTCACTGAAGATCATTGCAGTTCGATGTGAACCCGTACAGACTGCTCTTTTGGGACATCGTCTCAAGGAAGGATAAACCAATATTAGACGTCTGGCAAAATGTTACTTAACACTTTCAGATGTTATATTGTCTATGTCTTTCAAGAGTGTTAAAAGTGAACGCTTTAATGCTTCAGAGTTTCAGCTTCTCCTTTTTTAAAATAATAATCCCAGTATTATTCTAGTTGGGATTTTAAAAAAAAGGTTAACTGAAAAAAGCAAATACTGACGTGTTTTAATTTCCTATTTATTTTACCACTGGGGTGGGGGGGCAGCTGTGCACGTGGTGCCTAATCGTGAGGGAGGTCCCATAACTGTTGGACCCACCTCGTTTATCTTGCAGTATTCTCCCTCTGACAGCCTGCTAATGGCGACAGTAGGCACAGTGTCCTAATGGAACCACTGTGTTTGATATCATGGTGACCTGGATACAGGTAAATCACACTTTTAGTCATTGACATTTTTAAACATGCCACATGCATCCTTTGTGATCGTTTTTAGTTTTTTTGACAAATGCGAACCTCACCTCTATCTCCTTGAAGCTTCGCAGAAAGAAAATCCAATTCAAACCCCCACACCTTGTTTTTTTAAGCAAGAGGGTTTTTCTTTCTTGTATTAGTGTGAAAACACCCGGGGATGGTGTGCACCACCGTATGCCGACCCTGGGAAGCGGGCGAGCTCCACTAAAACCCCCCCCCCCCCCCCCCCCTCCCTCCGTCCCGCCCTCTTCCCCTTCGGTGCGTCTCGGTCCGCCCGCAGCAGTCTCCTTCCCCGGCGAGCTTTCACTACAGAGATGGCTGCGAAAGTGTGCAGATCGGTGCTGCTGTTGTCCCGGAGCAGCGGAGCGGTGGCCGGCAGCCTCCCCGCACTAGTTGCCTCTTCGCAGCGGCACCACCAGCACATAAGACCGGTAAGTCCCAGGACGCGGGGAGCGGGGAGCGGGGGGAGAAGAGGTGTAGGACCGGGCGGGCGGGCTGGACCGGAGAGAGAGAGAGAGACATAGAGAGGACGCGGCTGGGCTGGCTAAGGAGGTAAAGCTAACTAGCTTCATTAATGCCCCGTTTCGTGTCGGAAGGTGAGACACTTTGCGTGAGTCACGGGAAAAGAGTGTCGCGTGGCTGTTTGAATCCACAGTGGGACGACGAGAGTTTTCACGCGGGCGAGCCAGTTCTTTTCTCTTAATTTATTTATTTTCTTTTCTTTTTTCCTCTCAAGCCCATCAACACCCCCACTGGCGCTGCCCCGCCGCGTACTGTAACCCACCCGCACCCCCCCCCCCCGCCGCCTCCCCAACTTCCATATTAATACGTGTGTGTGTAGTTCCGGCCGGTGGCGGTTCGTCTCTGCGGGGCGCGGGCTTGTTTCTGCAGCAGCCGGGGTGCGATCGGCCCGGTGAAGGCGACGGGTGTCTGGTTCGCGTGCTCGTCGCCTCGTCGAGGCTGCAGCTTACGGGACGGTTCGGTTCCGCTGATCTGCTCCTCCTGCGTGAGCTTGCGGGGTTCTGGGGGGTTTTTGGTCGTGCGGCGGCAGAAACGCGTACGGAGGAGAAATAAAAGAGGAGAGTGATGGAGATCGTCCCCGTTTATTCATGCACTCAATCACATAGGAGACTTTTGCAGAAACATAGAAGCCCACACACTGGGGATGATGTCAGACTCTCGAGCCGGCCTGCTGTTTTTCACCCCCCCCTCCAACGGGGGTGTTTCCCGATTCAGCGGGGAGATCCTGGGTTTTCCTGCAGAACCGTGCAGGTCGCCAGGCCTTAGCAAATACTCACAATAACCAAGCCATAGAGGTGTTGACAACAACAAAAGAGTGGTTGCACATATGGTTCCTGTGACCTATGCTGCCTCAAAGTGTGAGCCTTCATGGCAGCAGCTGCCTGAGGAGGAGGAGGATGGACTTGGAAATACCCAAGAATGAGGAAGTCACATGACAGACCGTCCCTTTTTAAATTAAACCAGGCTGCCCTATACCTGTTGTCCAGGCCAGCCTGCAGGTTGTCAGAATAGACTCACTCGGTCCCCATGCCCACTCCGTCCCCTGGTGAACCATTAAGATCGAACACATTTACCCCCCACGGAGAAGTGATATTCTCCCCTCTCCCACCACACGTCGGCCTATTCAAGCCAGGTGAGTTGCGGCCCGCGGGGTCTCTGCAGAGTTGTCCCCGATTCATTTTAGTTTTTATTTCAGACGGCACAGATGGTAGTTTTGTTTGCCTGTCATATTGTGTCTTTTTTCTCCCCCCTCGAAGCGTCGCTGCGGCGGCTCCCCCCGCGGGCCTGTCGCTGTGTGACAGGCCCGCTTCTCCGTTCGTCGGCCTTCACCGCCGAAGAGTGGGAACACTAGTGTCTGTAAAGCTGCAGGAAGGGGAGGCGGGGGAGGGGGGGGGGGTGCAGGTACTTAGGAGCTTCCAATAAGCAGGTAGTGTCCGTTAGCGAGACGCGTGCGTGTCTGCAGCTTTAGTTTTGAGATGTGAGCCGACAGAAACGTCTCCGGCTGCCGCTTCAGTGACCCCGATGCAGCAGAGACGGGTCGACTCTGCGGGGATGCAAAGCACGTTCAACCCGCCCCAGATCACTAAGGAGTCGGCTGTCGCTGCTGTCTTGAAGTGTGGCAGGAGAGTCGAGTCATTGCGAATCAGCGGGGCTTGTAAAGGCTCAATAACTCAGAGGGTGAAGTTGGCTTTTCAATAGTGCGAGCAGGCTGCGTCAATAATCGCGTGTGTTGCGTCTCAAATATAGGTTGAGCAAATAACAACCAAAACAATGTTTTTATTATGTGAAGTCGTTTTTTTAGGCAACTTGTTCATTAAAGCTGAGCAGTTGGAGGCCAGGGGGGGTCGAGGCCCGCTCCCGGTTTTTAATCCAATCAGTGTAGGAGTAAACTAATTTATCCCTGCTGCCTTCACAGGCTCACTAAGGACCGTATCCCGATTGGTGTGATAAGAGAGTGGCTGTCAGCTTGTGGCGGTTGTCTGTGAGAATGGAGATAAGATGGTCTAACGATTGATAAACCTGCTCACGCGGGCGGTGTTATGCACCTGTAATTAGGGCTGTCATGATATGAAATGTTTTTTTGTGCAATTATTGGCGCCGCGGGGCTTTCGACCTTTTTATATGTAAAATGAATATCGCAGCACCAAAAAGTATTGGACGCGTGTGTGCGATATGTTGCGACAGGCCTACGTGTTCATACGTGTGCATATTGTATGGAAGACTTAACCGTTTTCACAGGAAAAGGTGAATGAATTGTTTCACTGGCTGTTTGGTATCTGACGGGCGTATGAGCCTCTGCTGTGTGAAAAGCTGTGAGTTCTAAAGCCTGATTGGCTGTTTACGATAATGACCGCAGATCTTATCATTTCATGTCTGGTTCCTTTTCATTGGAAGGAACCCTTAGTAATCATTGGTGAGCGCAGCTGCACTGTTCCATCTTCTCAATCATGTTGAATTGCTTTCTCTACACGGGAGGAAATTTTAATTGGCGTGATCGTTTTTCCTGCCGGGTTTGATGCAGTCCAGCTGGAGTGAGACGATGGGATTTCAGTGAGTCGAGGCCCAATTCGCAAAATGATCGACTCACTGGATTTGACATTCTCTATTTACATGGTAACATTTTCCAACTTCTATAATATAAACTGGTTTGGTTAAAAGTGACACATGTACCAACTGTAAAGTATTAATGAGCTGGTTTATGAAGTGTTTTTTCTTTTTTTATCTTGTGGTAAAAGGCATGAAAAAACACGTCTTCTAAAATCTTTTTGCCAGTTTCACATTTATCGCCCACCAACAACTGAGTGGCTCAGTCCGCTAGCGACTGCCCCCTTTGTTTGAATTAGGGGCAGATAGAGAGCTGCAGAGCAATGGACAGGAACCAGAAGAGAGACTACCTGGATCTCGTATATCAAGCCTGGGGTATTTGACCAATTTCCAGATTCAGAACGACAGCCTTTCCCCTTGATGTGTTTGCCCTTCTGGAGGACTTGAGGGGCCAGTAGAATCTGTAATTTGTCAAACGCTGTCAGGAGCTTGTGTTTTATTTTCCCGGGGAAGGGTCTCCCATGAAGTGAGGCCATGCTGCTCCAGCATCAGGTCCTTTTTGTGTTTTGTTATTAAAGCGGTTTGCTCTCATTTGTTTGCGCGTGGGCAGCGGCAAGGTGGACTCATGCAGAAATGAATCCTTTGTTCATCATCACAAGTCTGATGTGTGACCCACCATCCTTGTTAATACAAATGGAAATAAATCAGTGGTGAGATCATTTTGTGTGGAAATCTTATACTTGCAAAATATAACGGTGACTAAATGTTTTAAAAATGAACATTTACTATAGTTTTTGATAATGGTCCTGGAACAACTTTGCTTGTACATTTTAAGAAAACAACCTCCATACAGGGTGCAAACATTTTATATTCAATACAATCGCACAGAACGATAAGTGTCGTCTCCACTGTACAGCGGCGAAATTCTGTCTGCATTAGCTGTGCTTCTGACGGAGAACCTGTCAGCTAGAGCACCAGCCGCAGTCCTTTCCCGGGTCGCCGCGGTCCGGCTGTTATATGGCTGACCTGGCAGGGAAATGGGAGTGGTGCATTTGTTCTGCTGCACCCAGTTTGACAGTTTTTCTATCATCTTTCTTACTGTTGCCAATGCAATTAGGTTGCCATGGCTGAGAGATGGCTGAGCACTCAGCGTTGACTCTTTTGACTTCCATCTTTTCAGGTGATTCGTAGGTGAACGGGGGGGAAGATGCCTTTGCCGCTTGCCTGTCTAAGATCTGCTGCATATCCAGACATAAGCTGTGTTTTCCCCCGATGCGTTCTTCTTCTAATTTCCCCTGTGCTCTCCGAGTCCATCACGTTGCAACACCTGCTCGGCCTGCTCACCAGCTGTTTGCCCCGCAGTCAAAAGGAACATTCCTGGAATGGGAATATATATAAAATAATATTCCAAGATTAGTATTTTATATGTATTTAATTTTATTCAACAACCCTGGCTCCTGCAATTCCGGATCACATTCCACATCTGGAACTTGCAGGTATTTGTAGAGTTTCTGTAGCATTGTCAATGGATGAGACTATTGTGATGGACAAAGTCCTCATTAGTGCTGCGGAAGGGATTTCACCCTTGACGTGGCAAGTGACTGGTGAGCTACTGCTGTTGGCGTCTACTAATTAGCTGCTTCCCATGTTTTTGAGTGACGCAGCGTCGCTCTGCACTCTGAAAAGGACATTAAACTAGGCTCCCTGTGTAACGTGATGATGGATGGAGACACCGCTTGGTTGCTCCCCTCTCGTATCTGGGATGTTGCGGCGGCGTCCTCTGCCAGCGGGGCAGGGGAGTAGTACCTGAAGGCCATTAGAAGCCATTGGGTAGAAGATCCGGCTCATTATTGTGATGGCGAAACTAATCCGCCGCAATACTGGGTCCAAATGAGTAAGTGCAAACCGGACAGGCAGATGTGGTTTGTATGAAGGTCTGCTCGTCCCAGATGATCTGTGGTCCTGCTGTCCGTTCTATGTGGGTCAGTGGGTCCAGAGTTTTGCGGTGCCGAGTATTTCACGTGGCCATATGGTTTTCCTTTTTGCAGTTTACATACTGCATGTGGGCTTCAATGGAATTGGAAGGCATGTTTTATTCATTTATTGTATCGTGACATCTAGTTTGCATAAAGCCTTGGTCAGAAATTACACAGGCCAAATAATTAGGACATGAACAGCAGGGAGGCCAGAGAACCTTAAAAGAAAGATGACCCTGAGTTCCAAACAACAGCTTTGTGAGGATGGTGATATATTACCAGAGAAAACTTTCGTTTTTTCCACACTTCTTCTTGTAGGAGTTGTACCTCTACCAGCTCCTGTCAACGTGCTGAAACAAAAGAAAATGTCTCCTTGTTCATTTCAGCAA